CGTATAATCATCGTATAATTCATCAAATTTTGATAAATATTTGCACACGTTTACAAGTGTCACGTACACGACTGTACGTGTATGTACACGTGTCATGTACACAGGTACACGTAAATGAAAAGGTACCTTATGGAGAGTTTGCTTATTGTCACCCCGCACGAGTTTGCTTATTGTCACCAGTAATGATTAAAAATTGAGACGGGAAACTTATAGTCAACCCAACTGGCTAATTATTTAATCAGTTTATTACACAACGATTCGACCCTATTTTTTTGGGTCCTTTTCGAGTGATACTGCAAATCAACAACAACAACGCAGTTATGAAATAGTGGTTAAAAGTTAAGTAACGTTTCATAACTGCGTTGTTGTTGTTGATTTGCAGTATCGCTCGAAAAGGACCCAAAAGAATAGGGTCGAAACGTGTAATAAACTGATTAAATAATTAGCCAGTTGGGTTGACTATACTATAAGTTTCCCGTCTTAAGGTACCTTATCCAGGTCCATCTTAAAACACGTATCCGATCGAAAGCTCGAGTATAAAGTAGCCAAAATGGCATGTCAAATGTGTCAAACAACGGGAAAGAATATAATTTTATGTAGGTTCTTTTAGAATTTATGATGTCGCGATAGAAGAAGGAGAGAATTGCAAAAAAACTACGCGTGAAAAATTCATTCCACAATAATTCAATAACAATATAGATGAATTGCCTCTGCCTATCGCGTGTAGCGCGCGAACAAATGCATTTTTTCACTGTCGACAGAGTTATTCATGAAATGGACGTTTGCCATTTCGATTGAATAGTAGATTGTTGATACTAGCGCAATACTCTTGAAAGTGCGAAATTAGCATTTCGCACACACCTGTGTTGTTTCATCTGTACCTGTTGAATATAACAAATGACTAACGCGAGAGACGAATGATCATTTAAAAAATCACTTAAAAAAATCCGCAGTTCTGACACGAGTTTCCTTTGCCCCCGCACGAGTTGTATCGATGTCTCTTAACACTTGGAAATTGGCAAATTGACAGCCATCCCCGATCTCTCACTGAGCTGTTCGATACGAATGACTAAAATTTACATATCGAGGCGAGACGATAAGATAATGTTTTATTTACACACGTCTGCTGCCAAGAAATAATTGAGATATTCTATTTTAATTTGTATTAATGTAACGAACACACGAGAGTTCTCGATAATGCTGCAAGTGAGTAATCTATCAATCCGTGAATACATTTGAACGGATGGCAAACAACAAATGTGTAATAAATATGGATAGCTTCTAGGCATTCTGCTCGATCGTTCCAAGCGTGGCCGTGAACTCTAAATCGATTTGTGGAACGTTCAATCTTTCAGCAAATTGTAGGCGGTACCGCGTGAAAGTGATTCGATAAGAGCGACGTCAACTTCTAATATAATCAGATACCAGTTGTTTCGACTGCAAAGATCAGGTTTCCTTAAAATCATTTGCATCGATTGCCGCGTACTCACGTTACCTTAAATGAACCTACCGTCTCTTATATAACTTTGCGCGAGGCAATCTTTCGAACGCCACGCTCGGTCGTACAAAACAACTTGAAAAAGATACATTGCATCATATTTTCTTCCAAGTGTTACACAAGCGCATAATAAATAATATCACATCAATGTGTCGCGAAGAGTTTTATAACGGTAAAACGTAATTTATTATGACGTCTCGACTGTTTTATTTCACGCGCACAAAAATCAGTGTACTGCACGAAGAGAATTTTCTCTTGAAATTTATCCTGAAAATCGTGGTACAGCGTGGCATTTTGAAGGACTTTGTTGAGAGTTTTTTTAAATTTTACTAGTCAAATGTATGGTAAAATTTAAAAACCTATAAAGTTCTTCGAAATGCCTTGTTGTCCCACGATTACATAACTTTCAGGATAAATTTTAGAAGAGAATTCTCTCCGTGTACAGGATATGATTGCGAGACAGCGAAATAAAATGGCGCGTACCGAAAATCTGAATAAACACTAGCGGGAAATCATCGTCGTAGAAAGAGTAGACTTCTCTTTGGCGCTCGAAAGAGGCCCAGCGTCTAGTTTACCCTACTTTTCCCTATCGCGCCTAATTCGCGCGGTGACTTCGCGGCCGCGACGCGAACGCGGTATCAACACGTTTCTCTCTACAATGAGGAATTGTCACGTGTATTGATTGCGACCACACGTGGGGGCTTACCGCCAACTCATTGCGGGAGAAAAGAATTCTGTTTCCACTCGCGAGATTCGCGCGAGAGAGTTTGGAACGGGCCTTCTGCTCCCTTCTTCTTCTGCGATTTCAGTCACGAAGAAGTGTCGGTTGAATAGAAAGCAAGGCAAAACAAAAATTTTACCGCAGAAATGTCCGCGGCTTATTGAGCGAGTAAAGTTCAGGCGGTAGCAGTAAAATTGTACTGTCCGGTGTCAAGAAAGTTACAGATTTAAGACTGGTACTTGATGGAGACTGGAAAATTACCCGAGGTACAGTACGTTGCCGAGAAGCCTGGAGAACAGCGCCGAGCTCGAGAGCCCAAGTGTATTAACCAAGAATAAATTTCAGCGCATAAGAATGTCTTTTACTTTCCTACGCGGCAAATTCGCGTGACGGACTTTCTGATTTCCTTTGAAATCTTTCAATGAATTTGAAATCACATCTTTGCGAATTAAAACGCATTGTTCTTGTCAGATAGAAATACGGCGGATATTTTTTCGCCGCGACTTTTCCGCGAGTCTCACTCGGCACAATCGATATCGTGTGGTTACCGCATTCTATTGATCCATTGTCGTGCAACTTGATGTATTTCATTAAAATGCAATAGTCATATACAGCCAATGTGGGTTCACGCGCTGTTGAATTAATAGTCGCCCAACTGTAATGTATTACAAACGAAATCGTTCGTTGCCAGTTAGATGTAATCGCACACGTGATTACGGCAATAATTAGATGCTACTGCAATTTACTGCGGTGAAAGGTGCGGCAAAGGAGAGAGATTTGAAAGGCTTCAGTTTCGAAAAAATTATACGATCTCCTTCGGCGAGAAGTGCGTCAATTTGTCGGCGCTCGCACCGACTAAAAAATAATTATTGTTACATCCGGCGGCTTCGTTTTCTTCAGCAGAACGCCTTTTCTTGCCGGCGACTGCGAATCTCGGCGCTGATTCATGTTTCCGTGCAAAACCCGGCGGAAGATCGAGCATACTGACACATATATTTCTTCGTGCGACAAAGTAATAAAATGTTTCTTCGTAAATTCGTTTCGTTGTGCGCTCTATCCCACGTATGTGCTCCACTAATCCACGCCGCGACTTCTTATTATTCTCTGTAAACGAATTTAACGACGCGATACATTTTCACCAATTTGCCTTACCTGAGCGCCGAGTGAAGTGCGTACTATCGTACAAGTTCATTCTTGGTATTTTTTCAACAAGGATTCTATGAGAATTATGAGAAATTATTAAATGAAAATGTGTCTTGTTAGAGGAAAATAAAATAGTAACGTTGACAAATGGCATCTTGAGTTCTTGCATAATTTACATTGCATTACAATATCGATTCTTTTCACTGAAAATAAATAAATTTTATAATGTGACGTGAAATTGCTTGTTTTAACGCAAAAATGTAGTTTTTTTTTCTATTCGAAAATGAGCGAAAGTCGATTTGGCAACAATAAACGATAAGTTTTTTTATGATTGATGTTATTGAATTAGCAATCTTTTGCCTTTTTCAACTTTGTTCCAATGTATGAATTTAAAATGAAGACATTTAAATATTTGTTCACTTAAGTATCGTAATTTGCATCTCAATTCTACCGCGATAATTAATGACGGCAGATTTTCAAGCATATGCCATTCGTATTTGGCAATTTTTATTAGCATTTTAAATGCCGTTACACCGTCGTAATTGCAAGATAATAAAACGTCGACAAGTCGAGTGAAATTTTTACCTCGGTCATTCAGAGTTTATTCAGAGTTAATGGAATACCGCGAAGAAAGTGCGCAAATAAGGACGGAATTTTAGTTCCTTCATCGGTCATCATTATCTTAAGTGGGACGCGCGTGTTGGACGCAGTAGTTCCAAAATACAATTAACTGGCGGTGTCTTAAACATTCCAATTGTTTTTATCCTACTCTCACATTTCTCTTATTCTTGATATTTCTTACTTTATATCAAACTTTTGCTGTAGTATTCCCTCGAAATTCGAATTATATTATTACATTTTTGTTGTCGACTAGCGCAAGAGAATGATGCGAGCAAAGTAATAGCGTAAGATAATTAATTGGCTGATTTAGTTAATGTTAGAAATGTGCAAGAGTTTTAATCTTTGCTTTTTCAGCATTTTGATATAATTATTTGACATTGAAATAATTTTCCGCCTCTTTGTGCATTTGTAAGATTGATATCGAACTATCTAAAGCGTTATATTCTATAATTTAATGGCGCACGTAACTTACAAAATAACAGGCAACACTATCAGCGACGAAAAGCTTTATCGGGCGCGCAGACTAAACAAATCGAAATAGACGCGTAGACTATATCTTTATTCTGTTATTGCGACAAATATTATCATATGTCTCGGCGGTCGAATTGGTGAGGCGCCCGCCTAGAGTGTAGGGAGGTTCAGGTTTAAACTTTGGCTGAGGTAATGTTTTTTGCAATAATGTGCGAAAATGGCTTGACGATTTCATGCTTCCAGACCGATGTTTTTTTTTCACAACGAAATGCGAAAGTTGCCAAAGAGGTGGCAGAGAGTTAAATAATGAGAGAAAATATATCAAAGATTGATCTATGGTGCTTGCATGTATTATAAATGAAAGAAAATTAAAAAAAGATTAAAATTCTTGCACACCCCCAGTACTTTCGTTGTCGACTAACACGAGAGAATGATGTAAGCGCGCAGTAATAGCACAGGACAACTAATTGCTAATTGTGCCATTTTGTTAATTACGGAAACTTAGGAAATTATGAGCAAAGTCATATAGTCCTTGGTCTGTTTTAGATACAAGCCGACGAGGCTGTGGGGTTTCAGCGGCCATGTACAAACTATTGTCCACAGCGTTATCGGACGTGTTCGATGTCCTTGGCCCATTGGCGAACGCGTGTATATCGGTCTTCCGGATGGGACCACTCTTACGTACGATCTTTATCAACCGCTGACTAACGGGCACGAAGGTATTATTCATAGATTAATTGCAAAGATTAGCAACTGTTATAAACTCCGGCGATCGATTATATTAATTTTTAAGAATGGTCCGAAACGGCGCGAGCCTTGAACGTTAAAATTGCCAGGTACGGCCAAACAAACTTGAAGTTGTTAATCATTGCTGGCGACCTTGGAAGTTATTCCCGTTAAGATTAACTTTTCTTAGAAAACGCCCGTGATAATAAAACAATGATTTTTTTAATTTAACACGCTCGACACTACAAGTAACTTTTGTTCCAGATGACATAACGATAGCCGTCTGCCCTGGTATCGGTAACAGCTCGGAGAGCGTGTATATAAGGACGTTCGTGCACTTCGTACAATGTCACGGATATCGGTGCGCGGTACTTAATCACGTCGGGGCCCTTTCCAGTGTCAAGATCACGGCGCCAAGAATATTCTCTTACGGTACGTATGGCAATCGATAAAACTTGTTTCGCCAGAGCGAGGCGGCCGATCGAAGAAAGTTGGCGGATAATAACCAAGTTCCTACGCCGCACGAGTATGTACACACGGCAACGTTAGCAAACCATATAGCTGTGGGAAAAAAAACCATTCTGTTGAGTAACTTCGTAAAACTTGCTGGGTTACGCCGCTACGTCTTACGATCGTATTCATAAATCATTAATGGTATAATCGATAAGGAAATTTTCCATCGGAAGTGACAAAGAACTTGTACTCGAAATTGTACGTTTATATTTGAGCGCTCTCTGCCATCTTCTTGTTTAGATAATTGTGTTTTAATAGAAATTTTACAGAAATTTTGTACGTTTAAAATAACTTTGCAACGTACATTTTTATGAACAGGTCACACGGACGATTACAACGCGATGCTGCAACACCTGGTAGAACAGCACCCTAACACCAAAATAATTTGTATCGGCTATAGTCTGGGCGGTAATTTAGTGACAAAATATTTAGGAGAACGCGGTTCCAATAAATTGCCTAATATTATAGGAGGGATATCGATCTGTCAAGGATACAATGCTTTCAAGTAAGCATAATCAGTTTTTGTGATTAACAATCAATATGGATCAGCGAAGAGAAACATTATTCACCGCACTTGTGTTTTAGGGGAACGAAGATTCTGTTAAATTGGCAAAACTTTCGACGCTTTTACCTGTACGTAATGACAGAATCGATGAAGAATCTTATTCTCAAGCACAAAAGTATGCTTTTGTCCGAGGACGTGAAACAAAGGTGTAACTTGAATGAGCGGGACATAATTTCTGCCGCGACGTTACCTGAGCTGGATGAAGCTTATACGAGGAGGGTAAGTTTAAATTTTTTGAAACGCATGATTATTTTATACACAGAAATAATGGATCTGAATTTTATTAAGTGTCTTGTTGTTTACAGGTACATAACTTCAGGACTGTACAAGAGTTGTACAATTGGAGCAGTTGTATCTTTTATTTAGACAATATTACAACACCGATGGTATTCATCAACGCATTAGACGATCCTCTCGTACCAGAAGTGTTGTTAAATCCAATCAAAGAACACGCGGGTGAATATCTCTAGATATGCGATTTGCATGCAAATGACAATAAGTGATAAATAAGAATGTATTAATGTTTCTTGTATCTTGCGATTTCAGCAAATCACTTAAACACATTATACGTGGAAATAGCTCACGGAGGCCACCTAGGTTTTTACGAAGGCGGTTTTTTATATCCAAATCCTATAACATGGCTGGATCGAACCCTCGTGTCCCTCGTGGGATCTCTGACACTAGCGCACGCGGACAAGGCTCTAAAAACTTCTTAACCCAATTTAGTTTCGGTCAATGTATTTGTACTATTGAACGTTGATCGACAATATGTTACACGTACATTCTGAACCTGTGAGATCAAGCACTGTGCACATGATCCACGTTTAGATAATTGGAATGATCTATAACGAGGCTTCAACAAGACTGCAATGAAAATGTAAAACTAATAAGAATATTTGGTTCATGCTTTGATCGTCTCACGAAGTGAAATAAATGGGATTTTTCGCAAACGCTACGGGGGAAATAAGTGATAAGCGCGATTATAAAATAAACGTTTGCTCACTGACATTTTCGAAATTGAGCGTAGTTCCGGAACGCTAGCCAAATTGCGCTACTCTTTATATGAAATTATAATTAATAGAATTTTTATTATACAATGTGGCACAATCAAAATTAGCTTAATTATTTGAGAGTAGAAATGAAATGGATTTTCAATATTTTACTAAATATACTAACGCTTTTTTCTCAGGGATCTTCTATAGAGTGACGATATGATGGCGAGACTTTCAGTCTTTAACAGGTTACTAGAACTGCTCACTGTACAAGCGTTTAATCATGCTACAGGTTGAAAGGCAATATGCAATACAGAGTATCTTGTATACTTTCACCAAGGAAAAAGTTGTATTTATGTATAATATGTGTATGAATATAGGATGCATGTCGACTTAAAAAAGAATATTTATAAGGATATCTGCGCAAATGTGTCCATTCTAAGATTATTAGCTTTATCGATATGGAAAGTTGTCGCTGTTGTATATATGTAATAAACAATGTACATTATTTATTAATCTGGATTTGGTGATGATGTTAAATTTGCAAGGAAATTAACTCAAATTTAGTGTCGAATTTAAAATGTAAATCTGAAATTATGTTATACACGAAATTTTGTAAATAACATTTTTAGCTAAAACTATAACAAATCATGAAGAAATTAAGTTTGTGTAAATAATAAATTTAACGTTATTACTGCCGGATTAATGTAGATAATTAATTTGCATTGTGTAAATTTATTTATATATCGAATCGGAAATATCGTCGACATCAAAATTGTATCCGCATTCGATATTATGTTATAAGCGATATATATATATATATATTATTTAATGCAAAGCAGTTAAGGGGATGCTGGAGTGATTCTGCACTTTCGCACCTTTTGCACTTAAAACTGTTTCGTGGGAAAATTTGTGTAATATACAAATTAAATGGCTCACGTGTACAGATCGAAAACAGCTTGCTATTCCGGCTAAATTAAAGAACAATATGACATCATTGAAACTAAGTTTGTAAGTCTAATAAAAATTAACAGTGAGCAACACACATGCCACATGTACTGTATGTGTGTGTCTCTCACTATTATTTCTTATTAGACTTATAAACTTAGTTTCAGTGATGCCACATTGTTCTTTCATTTGGCCGGAATAGCAAGCTGCTTTCGATCTGTACACGTAAGCCATTTAATTTGTATATTACACAAGTGTTTCCGCGAACTGATAGCTTCTAGGTTAGAAAGTTGCAAAAGTGCAGAATCACTCCAGCATCCCCTTAAGCATTGAGATACATCACGTGATGAATTATTTGTATTAGAATGTTCTTCAATTATCTTAATGTATTCTTATTACATACTATGATGCAATGATAAATGTACGATATTTAATCTATTATATTGCACACATTCGAAATCTTATTCGTCCGCAAAGTTTATTAAATTCTAATATGTGGAATATAATAGGTTAATGCTACGTCGAGCGATATATCGTACGTCTTTGTTCGTGATAAAAAGACACCAAATATTTTTTTATTCATCTTAATGCGTCCATATTGATAAAGTTGATACATGCAATAATTTCTGATGATTAGGTAATATAGTTTCGATCGATAGATTTATTAATTACGATGTATCTGTATCGATGGTATGGTTTAATTGATATTTATTTTCTATTGTAGCGATTTAATGATAATAATTTTCTAAATGGTACTAATATTTGCGGGCAATTCCACGTCACATTAGGCAGCAAAAAGTGATTATTTCGGTTCTTTCTGAATCCTCTCGCTTTTGTATATACTATGTATAAAACTTTAATGCCATAATGATGACGCTTTCTGAGACATCGAATTTTTCACTAATGCGAATTTTGCTAAAGTATTACGATGCCTTTACAACTCTACAATATCTACAGATAGAAAAAAAACAAAAATCTAAGAAAGATTCAACGACCAAGTAGTCAATTTAAAATGCATTTATTACTGCAGTTGAATACATTTTTAAATAACATTTCTATTTAAATGCACTTCTTGAGATAATAGTCCTTTTCTCAAGAGTTGTATTCATTCCTTTTAAATTATAAAATTTATAAAATAAAAAGTACAATAATAGTTCTTACTTTACACCCTTGAAATAAAACTAGATAAAGTTTGTGATATCTTTGAAAATCTCTTTTGAAAAGAAATTCCGACGAACGAAATATTTGATATAACGCATATTTCGCGCTAAAAAAACTATTACAGTAGGTAATGTACAATATAAGCCGCACGGTTTTTTATCTCTTAGTGAGATAATACGAAATAAATTTTTATAAACCTCTCTTTTGTTTCTTCAAACTTTTCTAAGTTTTCTGCTTTTTGTGGTTTGACTTTTATTATGGCATATTTTCTGCTCTCACTCTTTTTATTACGGATGTAAACATCTTAAATAAATTTTGATATGTAAAAGTATAAGTTTGTTTATTTAGTTTAAACATACGTTATAATCTAAGTTCTTCGTACTTTTTATGGTATTATTTTATGCTACAAATCGTAATTGAAAATGGTTTGCAGATAACTTTTCGATTAAATACATGCATGCAAGAGAATGCGTTGATATTTTATTTTTCTCCAAAACTAATTTTCCATCATTACACATCGTTTATTTATTATATACCTTTTTCCTATAAATTTTGTGTTTCTTTTTAAATGTTTTTTTTCTTAGAAAACCTGGAAGAGAACACTCCACCAAAAAGAGATAATGTACTATAAAATTAACTTCTCATCGAACATTATCTTAATACACAAAGGCCTACATGAGCAGCGAATAGAGTATATGATATATGTTTTTAAAAGAGAACATTCGAGCTATGGTATTGTGAAACTTAAAAGAAAAGATATGTGAAACACTTGAAATAATTTCCTTTATGTGAAACTCGTGAGTTGTCTTTTATTATATTAACGTATGGATATTACTGTACACTAATTTAAAGTAAAGTTACACTGTCTAATCTTCGAATCATTTCCAGAAATTAGAAAGTATAAAAAAATGTATTTTCGAAACTTGCATAAACTTAAAAATTCAGTCGCTTGAAAACTACGATTATGGTATTAAAATTTTATTATAATATAATATTGCGCAAGCGTAAACAATTTTGTGAAAAACAGGAATTGCTCGTTTATTTGTCATCCGAATTGACGTGGGATTATCTACGTATAATTGACAGCGGAATGAAACTGACCACATTTTTACCGAAACAATTTATACAACATAAAAGCGATTTGTACACGAGTCGAGTAATTTCGAAGAATCAGAGTAAGAATTAATTTTCGTAATGATTTACGCCGAAAAGTTTTGACCCCCAATATCGGGGTAACAAGCATTTCTTCGGCACAACTGAGTCAAATAATATTCAAGCGCTTTCTAATCACGTGAACAATCCTCATCAAACACATCAAACCACAAAGCATCAATGCCCCGACGTACTTATAAATACTCGTATAATTTTCAGAAATAACAAAAGACAATAAGGCCTAAAATATACACAATAAAATTGAATGATATTTTTGTTCGCTATACAATTTATTTTCTATCTTTGGAATATATATTTTTCATTGTAAATATGAAATATTTTTAACCTGACCGCAATCTTCTCTTTATGAACGCTTTCCATTGGATTTTTATATTGCGTGACAAACTTTGCCAGCAGAAAATTTCCAAGATGTGAGTATTTTGTTGTACGAGGCCGCATAATAAAAACTCGCCGATTTCGATGTAACAAGCATTTGGTTCCTTGAAATTACATTACGATTACATTGACACTCATTGTCAGTAGACTGCTCTCGCGACCACAGGTATTGTTCAAATTATTCACCACGACATGTTGTAAAAAACATCCTGTGACATACTGTTCCAGTGACTGTTCAGTGAACATTAGTACCTAATACCGTGACGAATGTCAACTTTTATTATCGCTTGTACTAATTGTTCTCTTGTTTCTGAGTCTCGACCACTGAGGGACCTCGCGGGAGACAAACCGGACATTTCACGTATTCGTGCGATATCTCCGGTACGTTGATAATTCAGTTCGTGTCTCAGGAACGAAGCCGAATTAACCCATAGAATGTCAACTATTTGCTTAGAATAGTTTCACGCTGGCAACGTTTATCGGTTTCGTCATATTTGGCATTGACGATATTCGTTCATTACCTAAGCTGCAAAATCAGCAAAATTTGATACGCATTGACGTATATTACTCTCTAAAAGCCAATCATTGATTATCACTGAAAACAATGTGTATTCGCTAATTTTCAGTTATAAATATAGCAAGTATGAATTATTCGGTGCTGTAACTGTTCTCAGTGATAATGTACTGACTGGCTTTCGGTACAGGTGAGAAAAATAAAAGTATCTGTACTAATTGCGATACAGAACGAAGAGTTGTTCTACACCAAGCAACGACAACCGCACATATAATTTCATCATTACAGCTGGACTGATAGACGTAATTTAAGATAATTACATTACGAAAATAAACAATTCTTTACTTCGACCAATTCCTTTCCATGGATGATTCGAATTGCATTTGCGAGCGAATGACGAACACTTGTTTTTGTAACATATTCGACGACGACAATTTTATATGACAGAATGTATTATCCCGGTTGTACTTACACGTGACTATATGTGAGACTACATTATATGTACATATATCTGTATACAAAATCCAGGAAGTAGCGAGAAGGGGAAAAAGGCATATTTGCTACAAGACTTTTAATCAAAGCGCGCATGGAATGTTCTTATCGAGGGGGAAACCGCTGACCAAAATCTTGTATACCAATGCCCACTAATGCCCAGTGGGCATTACTTTATCTTATTATCTTCTTTTATCTTATTTATCTTCTTTTATCTTATTGTATCTTATTTTATCTTACTTTATCTCTATAATGCCCCAGCAAGACGTAATGCCCAAAAAATGCCCTAGTAATGCCCAATGCCCAGTAATCCCGCAAATCTGTACACCACAATGCCTTCAGCGGTTTCCCCCTCGGTTCTTATTGAGAAGAAATTTGTTATCTCGTTATCATTTAATATCAGCTATCGTGTATTCAATCACCTGCGATTCATACCAAATATCGCAATCATCGATGCGATGCGCACTTGCAGGCGTTAAATCGAGCGCTACAGAATGCCATATCTTATATTGCAAGTGTTTAACGCGTAAAATAATACGAAGAACACGATATGAGCAAGTACACGAATAAAGAGATTTATGAGAACGAATGCTCTTCTTAGATAAAAAAACAAATAAATGAGCGATATCGCGTTCAGGGATGTGCGAGCTATCTGAGTACGAATCGAATCGGGTGAGATGCGGTTTGATTCGAATTTGAATTTCTATGATTTGAACCTGAATTATTCGAAACTTTCGAATCTAGATGGTTCGATGTTAATAAGTGCATTCAGTGAATGCATTCGGCACTACAAATAATTAATAAGTGTCAATATGACTCGTTGGATCCGAGAGTGAGAATCAATTAAATATGCATCACATCCTAAAACGAATTTATATTATATAAATTATTATTCCACGTCAAAATGTTCTCTATTATTTACACATTAAAATTCAATCTACGGTTAATAATTATTGTAGATTGTTAATTAAAAATTGTACCAAAGTTTCGATTCAACATAAAAAATCCCTGATTCGCACATCTCTAATCGCGTCTTGGTTTTAATTTCAACAAAAGACTGACGTAATCTTTTACGTAAAATATCTTTTACTGACGTAAAATAGTGAAAATAACTGAATTAATTTTCTAGCAACAATTTGTATCTCATGAGAGTATTTAAGCTGTTTGCACTTGCACGCCACAAGTAGTGATCCAATATTTGCTGCATTTTTTAGAAGGTCACGTTATGTTGTTAATTACACAAGAGAAATAAATTTTTAACACTGCACTGAGGAACTTAAGTTCGAGCTGAGGTCATCATGTTATTTTCGAGGTGTGGCACAAGGATATCTCTTTGTCGTGTGTATTTTGTAAACGGCATTCAGACGGAGGAAGATAATTAAGAACGTACTTAATGACTTTTATACATAACTTGGAAGTTTCCCACTCGAGATGGTGCGCAAAGATAAATCTCGCCAAGTTACGTACGTGAATGTAGATTATTTTGTATAACGATATAAATTTTGTGTGACAACCGGCGGAGTTTTTCTTATCATCGTTTCCCTCCTGCGCTTATAATTACGTTCATTAATATGCATTAATTCGTTGTAATATGTCGATGGCAACGATACATTGCCGCTCTAATTTACGATCAGCATGTCATACTACCGAGAAGTTTACAGAAATGTCATTTTGGAGAAGAAAATGATATCTTAAAGAGAGAAAATTATTTTAGAGAAATTTTACATTAAAATTAATTAACACGTAATTGTAGAAAGAAGGCGCTCAATTAATGCAATGTAAAAATACTGAGAAGAATGAAAATTTAGTCAATATAGATTTTCTTAGAAATATCCTGCTAATCAAGATGTGATAAAATTACGAAAGTATTTAAATTTACTTATCTTATTCCTAAAATAAGATAAAATAATGTAATAAATGAACCGCGTAAGTAGTTCAATTTAATAACTTTACGTTTACAATTAATCGTATGGAGTTATATACGTTTACTGTGTTACTAAATGACTTGTAAAAGACATGTACTACTCATACTATATTATTTGCATTGAATTGATTGTTTATTTATAGTTCTAGTCAATTTCACTTTATTTTACTACGCATTTGAATTTGTTTTATTAGCGTTTCTATCTTATCATCAGCACGACGTTTATATTTGCTTTAGATAATACTCGTGATTTATTAGCCCACGTGTCTAAGGTTAAAAAGGTATTTTTTCAGTGCCGAGAGATGAATATTCTTTGGACAATCGTTCTGTACGACTAAATACCTATCGTGATACTTTCCAGATAACATACACAGTTCTATTCTTCTGGCGTGCAAATATTCTTCATTTCAGAATATCCCACAATCAAATATTCTATAAATATATATATATATATATATATATAGATTATTACAATTAGAAATCGCGTATTTATAACAAAAAAGAACGATTTTAGAATATTCATCGAGGATGTCTTTGGAATATTTGTTCAGAATAACTTTTTAATATTCATCGCGTTTATGTATTGCACATTGTTTATTGTGTAATACACTTATGCAAAAAGCAGTGAAACCTGTGATCACATACCATTAATATAACCGACACGCTTCGATAGATCATTCTATTCACATTCGAAAAAGATTTATAGTAGTGCCAGTCGAATGCTCCACGAACATAAGATAAATATCTAAGAATGACCTATGGGATATTCCAAATATTCTTGAAGAAATATTCTTAAAATGTCCATAGGTGTGTCTTGTGCTAGCTGGGTTAGTTAACATACTTATAAGACGCAGCCTATTAATAAGACTTATTTGAAAATATTCTTTCGCCGCGGTGAGTTGAATGTTACGAGGATCTTAATCTTTTTACGACATGATCTACTGGTTGTGATGTTTATTCAAAGTTTATCGCAGAATAATTTTTGTCTCATAAAATTTACATCCATAGTATTTTATTAATTGTATGAGAAATATAACAAAAAATGTATATCGAATCACGTTTATAAGCTTACAGCTTTCTTTAATTCCAAGAGTAATAAAATCTGACACTAGCACGTGATATTATCGAATTGCAAAACAAGACGCGATCTTTTATTCTTGAACAGGTGTTCAACTGATTTCATAAGACGCAACGTATTGATAATATTTATTTGAAGATATTCTTTCGCCGCGGTGAGATGAATGTTACGAGGAATCTTAATCTTTTTACGACACGACCTACTGATTGTGATATTTATTCAAAGTTTATCCTACAGAATAATTTTTGTCTCATTTTACATCCATAATATTTTATTAATTGTATGAGAAATATAACAAAAAGTGTATATCGAATCACATTTATAAGCTTGCAGCTTTCTTTAATTCCAAAAGTAATAAAATCTGACACTAGCACGTGATCTTTTATTCTTGGACAGGTGTCCCATTGATTTTAGATGCATCCTCCGTTGACAGTTTTAAGTTCGCCTTCCGATGGAAAATAAACGATTCCAGATCACTCTGGAAATTTCAGAACCTGAATCTGCAGCGAGAGAAACGAATGGTCTTTCTCTTCTTTAATATTTATGATATACGAAGCATTCACTTTGTGCGTAATATCAGCGCGTCATACATGCAGGTGCGAAATTTCATTAATTACGACTCGAATAATTTTACACTGCGATGCGCAAATCGCCCAATATGTTTAAAATTCTGTCACACCTGATTTATACGGAGGATCAATAGACACATGTGTCACTGGTCGTCGACTCAGGTGGTCAACGGTGCCAACGAGTTTACTGGTCACGCTCGTGCACACGTTCCTCCACGTTTATCTATAATGGTGATCACGGTGGTAAGAGTCACTCAGTGAAGATCGAGCAGCCGCGACGATCACATCCCACGGATCTATCGATCACGGGCCGCGCACGATTTTTCAACGAGGTGTCTCGCCGGGCCAAAACTCGACGATAGATCGTGGCGGTAGATTCTCCACGACCATGGCCAGGGTAGTCTTGTTCACTTTGGCGATCTTGATCTGCGGCCAGGCGACCTATGTGCACCCCAACTACGTCACCCTATCGAAACGGGGGCCTGGGCTCCCGACGGTGAACATGTACTGGTTTAAGCGACAGCGACTGCTGGCGGATGAGAAACAACAGTCCCTGGGTGGCAAACTGCAACTCAGTCCCGTCGAGACGAAGGCCAATAATGTCCTAATGAGGGCCAAAAGGCGAGAGATCTACGATGGTTTGAATCCTTTCACTTACTATCGCTAGTTCGCGCGTTCAACAACGTTCGACTCGCGGCTGACCGCGGTTGTCTTGCCCGCGATTTAATAAATTCGACGAAGAGCTTAGCGTGGATACTTTTCTCTTCTCTTATAGAACGGATCCGTGCAAATTTCGCAATTCAAGGATCCAACAGAATTTTTATTCAATATTATTCATTGTCGAGTCAACTTCGTTGTATTAATCTAATCTCTAAAAGTCAATCAGTGGACCGAAAACAATGAATGGTCACTGATTTTACAGCATTTACTTTTACCAGTAAAATGTATTTTAAGTATAATTAATAAATATATAATATTAAAAATAATTAAAAATAAAAAATATAATTAATAAAAAAATAAATAAAAGTAAAATGTACGGTAAAGTTTCAAAAAACTCTCACCAAATTCCTGGAAATGCCGTATTGTCCCACGACTACATGATTTTCAGGGTAAATTTTAAGAGAAGATTCTATCCGTGTATAAATATGCCACTGAAAAACGCAGTGGTACACTTGTAACTGTAAATCAGTGACTATTCACTGTTTTCAGCAATAATCCAGTGATTGACTTTTAGAGAGTAGCTATCCAAGACTTTACTGCATTCTTTTCGCTTGGTTTTCGAAGATTTACGTTACCTCAGATGATTACGATAATCCCTTCAAGTACCTTTACCGAGAAGTGTACTCAGTGCGTTCTGAGCAACTTACTCATATTTCAGATTAACGCTTTTGTAACCGTGCGTTATCAATGATTGTGCACGAAACCGTGAACCATTCATAGCGTGAGAACGCGTTAGAATATCCGCTCTCTCGACGGACATGACAGATTATTTGTCGGACGTAACCACTTCGGCGTAATGTTTGCCGAAAAACCGCGCTAGGTGTTACGAGAAGACCACCTGCTTGAAAGTACAAACTCGAGCAGCGCCAATGGAGAAATGAATATCACGGAAGGAGACTCAAAGTTTACGACTTCGCGTAATTCCACTTTTCAACGCTTGGTTTACGAGGCCCTCGCATTTCCGCAGGTTTCATTACCGGCGACAGCTTCTTGCCGTCGCGCAACTTCATGGAAGTGATACCGAAGATCGAGAAGTCCGAGGTGTTCAGGATCCTGCGCGACATGCCCAAGGGCGCCGTCCTCCACGCTCACGAGTCCGCCATCGCCTCGTTGGACTATCGGCTCTACAACCTCACCTATCGCGCAAATCTGTACGTGTGCGAGGAGAACGACTTGCAGCTCAAGTTCTTCAACACGACCAGCGACGATTGTGACTGGCAGTTACTGAGCGAGGTACGGCAAGACCCAGCCCGGGCCGACGCTATTAACGAGAAGATCAGGCAGTCTCTGACCATGGTCGTGGAAAACCCGAAAAGCGTCTACACCACGGTCGACAAGGCTTGGGAGAAGTTCAACAGCATCTTCAAGTTCATGAGGCTGATCGTGTCGTACCGACCCGTCTACGAAGACCTCTTCTATCGCAGCCTCCTGGAGCTCTACGAGGACAACGTGATGTACGCGGAGATACGAGCCACGTTATCGTCGATATATGAGCTCGACGGCAAGACGTGTGGGCCGTTGGAGATGCTGAAGATCCACAAGGACGTTATTAATAGGCAAGATACTTCCTCTCTTTAAATTATCTTCTTTTATAGCTTCAAGTCAGCAAAGTAGTAAGTAAATGTCGCAACTAGTTTTCCTATTTCGGCAGCTGATGGTCTCGCGATATTCCGCGGCTGCGCCAGGAACTATTTTGAATGAGATAACGTAATAAATGGACACGACAGGTTTAAGAAGGATTACCCCGACTTCGTTGGCGCCAAGATCATATACGCGCCGCAACGTGGCGTCGACGACGAAAAAATGGACTACTACCTGAAGACGTTGACGCAGATAAGGCAACTCTATCCGGATTTGGTGGCCGGTTTCGACCTGGTTGGCCAGGAGGACAAGGGAAAGCCCCTCACCGAATTTGCCGACAAACTGAACGCCGTTGACCCGAACGTCAAGTACTTCTTCCACGCCGGCGAAACGAACTGGAACGGAGCGTCCACCGACATGAATCTCTTCGACGCTTTCTTGCTCAACACCAAACGCATCGGTCACGGGTAAGTAAAGCAAACACTTGGAAAGAGGTGAATTGAAGATCCGAATTAAAACATCGATAAAATATAATCGAGAGGTAATCAGATGCAAACAACGATTTGTGACTTTCCCTTATCTAGATTTATCTTAGATTTTTATCCCCAAATTTAGTACAATCAATTGTAGTAGGTAGATCAAGGAATTTACCTAAGATACGTCCAGAACAGCTGAGATAGCGTACAGATTGATTTAATGGTCTGCATTTCGCGTTGCTTCTTCAGATACGCGCTAACGAAGCACCCGCTCCTATGGAAGTTCGCGCAGCAGTTAGGAGTCGCGGTGGAGGTCTGCCCTATCTCGAACCAGGTTCTCGGTCTCGTGGAGGACATGCGGAATCATCCCGCGGCCAGTTTGTTCGCGTCGGGCTCGCCCGTGGTGGTCTCCAACGACGATCCCGGGCTCTGGGGTGCCAAGGGACTGAGCTACGACTTCTACGAGGCCTTCATGGGTATAATGAGCGCCACCTCAGATCTCAGGAGCCTCAAGCAGCTGGCGATGAACTCGTTGATTTACAGCAGCATGAATAAACAAGAGAAGCGGCAGGCGCTGTGCCAGTGGCAGGTCAAATGGGACGCCTTCGTAGGCAAACTGGCCCAATCGGCCTAAAAACGACGGATCGGAACAAACGCAAAAAGCACCTCGTTCCTCTTCGTATCATTGGTATGCGAAAAGAGGCAAGTCAGCGCGAAGATGAAAGGATATTGTCGACAGAACGACAGTACGGTGCCATAAGCAATCCGTTAAGATATTCTTAGAACGTTTCATAGACAATAGTTTTATCTTGGAGCGTCTTGTGTTCTGCCACGTTTTTAGGGAAACAAGTACCGCCGAAACTGTGCATCAATTTTATGGAACAGCATTTTGTCTTATAGAATTCTTATCGGAATTCCATACGAATCGCCACTACCTCATTGCGTTCCCAGATAGCAATGCGTGTCTAAAAGGCATCTTTAAGAGGGTGTTGTCTTGTTTAATGCATCTGACGATTCACCGCTATATTTGTAATATGCGTCCAATGGATATTACGTTTGTTACGAAGAAGCCCTGCTTTTGTAATACGACTCTTGGAAAAAATTCGCCGTATCTTGCGTTTTGTACAATGAGATATAAGAACTACACGACAAAATAAATGTTATTTTTTTCATTATGTACAGTATAACAATTCATTAATTCGACGCTCGCTGTAGAAGATTGTAAGCCGAGTAAGAAGTCCTGCAAATCTACGGAAATAAGGTATTGCATCACAGCGAAGTGTCTAAGAGACATATTCTATTTATATTTATGCTAATTTGCGCAATTGGCTTCTGCCATAACTACAACGCATAGATAATTGTCGGACTAACTTTTACACCTCGAACACGAATCACGTAATACACAAGATGTATGTACTAGTCTCACTTACTTACTAGTTTTATTTACTTACCAAAGTAAAAGTGTTAAGAGATAACGCGAATACTCCGTGATAGGAGAACATTATTCCTTTTTGACTGGTTATCATAATAAACATCAGCAATCTACGCTCTCGCGGTGTCACCATTGTCCAGTCACTGGAATAAATAGCGGCCGCGATGCCTTTACTCTGCGAAAGAAAGCAAGCCGTTAGCCAACGTAGTACAGTTTTACACGAACCCTGTAAAAAAAACAGCAGTGTGTAGGCAGATTGGCAGCAGATTTCATCGAAACGTGTGTTAGCAACCAATTTGCCATCAAGTTACATCAGTATAAGATCTGTTCAACTTTGCTGTCGTCTGCTGACTGATTAGCACGCTTTGTAGTGTCCCTGAAAATCACGTAATCGTGGGACAACATGGCATTTTGAACAACTTTATGAATTTCTTGAAATTCTACCAAGTATTTTACTAGTCAAATGTATGGTAAAGTTTATTTTTCCGTGGAAATTTTTCGGCTGGCACACAGAATCCAACAAATCCGACAACTTGTAAAATTTATAGCAGGAACTTGGTAAGATCTGCTTTCGACAGACTTGGTTTTCAGGGGAGACATTAACTCTTCTCAATCGCAGGCTGTACCTTCATAAAATTTTGTAAACTTTCTGCTTCTACATCTAAATGCTTTCTGGCAAATACCAAGTTTTGCCCGTGTCAATTTCAACATTACGCTTATTTACCTTCAACTCAAGCTCGTTTCCGTACCAGCAATAATAGAACAGTTGAAGCAGCATACCACTCAGGTACAAGAATATCGAAAGAAACTCAAAGCTGAGCAGTTTCTTCTGCAAGAAATAAATACACGTCGCACGGCCGAGGACATATGGAAACGTCTCTTTTGCGATACCTTCGACAGAATGAAGATACTGGTGCACACGATGAGCAGACTGAAGAAGAAGAAGATCATCACCGTCCATATGAACAGCGCGCGTATCTTCTTTACCAAACCGTTCACGAGCAAATGATGCTTGACGCATTCGACGATCGAGGCGTTCGTATCTGGCTTCCGTCCGGAAGCGACGTCGCCGGCGCCCCTCAACCCGTCCGTCAATCGGCAGCACATCAGCTCGATCTGTGCGCAAGCTTGAATCATCAAGCCGTAAACGAGACAGTCGAAGGAAACGTTGAGCATCACTGCGTAGAACAGCGCCAGAAATTGCTGCAGATAAGTAGCTAGATATGGAAGCAGATTTGACACGGAGTACGGGATGTATGTCTTCAACGGCAGCACGCGCTCGCCTCCCTTGAGCAGTTCTATAGCTGGGGTGACGACGAAGCCTAACACGGTCGCGTACGATATCGTCATGAACGAGATAGTGCTCCACTTAGCTGTATTACAAAGATTTGACTTCCAGTAAACGTCAGTCACAGCTGACAGCCATTTCCCAGCGAGAAGCGACCCGTCGATCGATGTCAAATTGACGACAATTTGACGGTGTCCATTTGACATCGCTTCGACATCATTTCTCACTGGGTTAACCGACTTTCTATCCCATACAGCACACAAATGTTGAATCAACAGACTCAGAAACGTTCCATTACAACATTGCAATATTGCATCAATGTTACGAAATGTAGATTCAACGTTGAAAAGATGTTGCAAAATTTGAGTGTGAAAAAATAATAATTTGTTCAAGTTTGTTTTAACGTTGTAGCAACATAAAAAATTTATGTACAAACATTAATCTAGATTCAATGTAGAAAAGATATTTATACTTCAACGTTCAACACTGCAACGTTCCGGCAACATTATTTTAACTTTCCGTGCTGTATGGGTATGTTTCTTCACGAAATGTTATGTCACGCCACGCAGAGCTTGTCAAAGCCGCATAATATTTAATTATATAACTGTCGGCATAATTAACTAACTATTAAGCAATTAATCAACCGAACGATAAATGCCAAAAAGTGTATCGACTTGCAACGCAGGATACAGCAATATCCAATTAACAAAAAGTGATGACGTATTTGGACAGGTGATTATTTACGGAGTTTCTGTCGAGTGTCTTGATTATTAATGATCTTTGGCACACGTCACGTGACACATTTGTATTTCGCGATACGTAACATTTACGTCAAACGGCAGGCGTATTTGCGAATTACCGTGCGCACCTCTGCGACTGTGCTCTTCCATTATCAGCTTCTCCGTGGAATTTCTCGGCTGGCACATCTTCACGCGCAGGCAATCCAACAAATCCGACAGCTCGTTCTCCCGCAGCAGAAAATTCGCGTACTTGACGCACAGCGTTAAGTAAGTCAAGCCTAAGAAGAGCCCTTCGGTCAGCTCCTGCACGTGGTCGCGCGTGCGAATCACCTCTATCACGTCGGATATCGTAAACTCGTATATCAAGAGAAAAATCGCGTACCTGCGGATACACCGCCGCTTTAAATAATGGACGAACAGGTGGACGAGGAAAAGACAAGTTTTGCTGTGTATTTTAGTAAAGTCCTCTATTATGAGATAGGATTTCTAATACGAGATAGTAGATTTTCAACGTCCAAATTTAATCACAATTCCTTTTCCGCAACGACATTGCACGATTCAACAGTCCATTTTCCACTGAACAGACTTCGCTCCAAGAGCAAAAGATTCATGGTGGAATCAACAGATATCTATTAATTTAGCAGAAACGCTGTCTCATATTAGGAGCCTATCCCATAATAGAGGACTTTCTTCTATAACTGCTTTGTGTGCACGACATACCTGTAACAAAGGCGCAAAAATCCAACGCACATGTTGTCGTCCTGCCGCTCTTTCCATGCGCCGCAAAAGCGTAGAGCTTTAAAGTTTATCGGTAGAATGTCCATATCTTCGTATCATCCTCCTGTAATTGCCGGCTTCGTTCTCGTTCCGTTTCCGTCCGTGAAATCTCCTTCGTTCTTTTAATAATGCACAGGTTCTTGTTTTTCTCTCTCTCTCTATCGGGGTAGTAAAATTTCCGATAACATTCCGCCATTAAGAATTGCATTAGTAATGCCGTGCAACGTTGTCAAGCGCACGTTAAACTTTAATACGATCGGGTCGCCGCGGTTTCTTATCGGAGAGCTGCCCCGTTTCAACATCGCGTATACTTCGTTTCATACTGTGCGCCGTTAACATACGACCGTTGCGTGTCTCGCAAAATAGGAATTTGTTGAGCAACTCTTCTGTCGTGTAATATTAAATGTCCGCAAGAAAATGGGGATATAGAAAATAGTATTGAACCGGCGAGAGGTATAGCGCGCTACGTGAATAATAAACTGCGTAGGCTGGAAGTGAAAAGATAAGAAGTTCTCGCGAAATGCTCGAAGAATTGTACAACATTTTTCAATGCGAATTAATTACCGATTAACCGATAAAATAGCGTCGCGCGTGTGCGTGTCTTTTAGTTTTTTTGTAACAAATAATTACTAAAAAATGTAATATCCAAGTTAATATCATAAAGGTGGGTTTTTTCAGAATATCTCGCACTTTATATAGAATATCGGACTGTATCGTACAAAGTAGCTTTTAAACAGTTTATAATACGCACAGTGTCTATTAATTCAACATTTGCCACGAAAGATTTAAAGCCGAGTACGAGCTGACAATGTGAGAAAACAAAATTGGATTTGCATTAAGTATTTTAACATAATTCTTTATATCAATTAATTTCAATCAGTTTAAATCAATTTGATCTTTTGGTATCGATACGAATATTTACATTGCAACAACGACGGTAAATTCAGCATGCTTTGTCTTATTAAAATCAGTTTCATCTTGTAAGCTTTTACCCACACGTGAATATATTTTCCGAGTTCGCTCGCCCAAGTGTTCAGAGGCGATGCAAATATTCCATAGTGAAAGAAACTTGATCCTTTCTCTGGTTGTTTATCACAATGAGTTTCAAGGAGTTGCGTTTCGCGAGACTCGTGGCAAATCCTTAAAACAAGTAACGTGCGATATCTCTGCTCTGTGAAAGTGAATATCAATCTAGTTTAATAGTTTTTTTAATCGGTAACATATTAATTCGATTCGTCTGAAAGTTGATTCGCGAAACAAGGCGAGTTGAAGAAAATGTTAATATTATTGCGTAAAATCTGTTGCAGGTATATCGCCATATATGGAAATACTTTCGAGAAGAAACAAGGAATATAGACTTTTATTCATTCTTCTTCCTTTGCATAATTCCCCCCCCCCCCAAAAAAAAACAATATAGTCCCAAATCAATTACAATATTAAAAGAGGAAACACTCCACTGCCTTAATAAACTGTCGCGAATATTTTGATTTATTATTTAATTAAAAAATCGCTTGTGTCGATAAACGGCGTGAAACGTCGAAGTTGAGTTCTAGTAATGTATGCATGATAATTAAATCAATCGTACCAATTAATTATGCGAAACGAATTTTTTGGATTGCATTTATTAATCTTAATGAGTTATCTTGTTGTTTTTTTACTATTCGCCTTTATTATTTCTTTCTTCTCTTATAGAGTTTCTCGATTCTCTCTTCTTTCTTTAGCATATGTCGACGTATGAATAATTCAATAGCACCGACATAACAATTTCTATTGTGCAGCATTAAATAATGTTATGGATGTTTCATGAAAAGGTATACATACACATGGTCACAATAAATAAAATATGGCCACACGCAGAGGATTTTTTCTTAAAATTTGTCCTAAAAATCATGTAATCGTTGGAAAACATGGCTTTTCGAAGAATTTTGTGAGAGTTTGTTGAAATTTTACAATACATTCTAATAAAATGCATGCTAACAAATATAATTACATAGTAGAATGTATGGTAAAATTGCAAGAAACTCTCATAAAATTCTTCAAAATACACTAGTAATTATACTAATTGTAAGTATAGCATATACTTTATTAGTACATGTATGGTAAAATTTCAAACCCTCATAAAATTCTTCAAAATGCCACGTTGTCCCACGATTGCATGATTTTCGGGGTTCAAAGATAATTTTCTCCATGCAGCATTCACATAGCGAATAAGCACACTGGCGCGATAAGTCATAAAACTTTACATGTATCTCTCATCTTTTTCTTATATTTTAACATTGTTATTATTGCTAAGATTCATGTGTGTCGCATGCGCAATCCTCAATTGCGCTAAGATGATAATATACAGGGTGTCGGATTCGATTTGGACGACTCCAAAGATTATAGTTGGCAGACATGCAAAATGGTGTATTTGTTGACATCTCTCAAGGTCCGATAGCGAGAGGTGGAGTCACGCATCGATCGATGAGAGACGGGGGCGAGCGGGGAGCGGTGAGCGGGCGAACGGCGCGCAGCGAGCGAACGCGCGACATATGACACCGCGCCGAAAAAGTTTTTCTGGTGGTAGGAGAATAATACACCATTTTGCATGTCTGCCGAGTCCGGCCTTCAGCTCCTCCGTGCACTTATTGGCTCAGACGTTTTTCTTAATTACGCGATAATAATTACGAATTTTGTAAAATGGTATATAACTTTTCTTCTCAGCTCGACCCAATCTACTATAATCTTTGGAGTCGTCCAAATCGAATCCGACACCCTGTATAGCCTGTATCAATCCCAAGAGGCTATAGAAATATCAGTTAAAATTTGAATTAAATCGAGAAAATGGTTTCTAAGAAGATAGCGAACAAAGAAACCAGGCTACAAACTCTTTCTCTCTTTATAATAATAGTACAGATAATAAAAACCGTCTAGATATTTTAATATTTAATACTGTTCTTTGTCATGTAGAAGATTGTCACTGGTTGATAAACAATTACCAATAATTTAGAGACGATTCTACTTTAAAGAGTTTTATGTGTATCTAAAAATGGATAAAAAAATACTAATTTTATACAATTCATTCCTTCTATATAGTTCAATAATTCAAGTGTAGTCACATAGATGTCTGTTGTAAAACGTTAAAGGCAGAATAGGATGTTTTCAAAATCTATAAAGGAAATGATCGTCACGTGTTATTTTGTTATTATCGCTAGGCCAGATATGCACAAAGCACGCATTGTTATCGCAAACTTACCCAAGTGAAAGTGTCGAGAGCCAAGCTGAAAATTCCGTAAGAAGACAGTTTCAATCCCTTTTGACTGATAGCCATCACAAATAGTAGACTTCTCCGGTCTTTCGTCGTAGCAAGTGTCCAGTCGCTCGAATAAATGGCGTCACCGATGCCCTTACTCTACACACACACATACACACAGTAAAAATGTCTTTATCTACTCACGATAAACCTATTTCAGGTGATCTATAATATTCGACATAAAATTATAAAGACATACAAAAAGTAACGCGTTTTATGATTTTATATTACATACGGAAAAGTTATACAGTTTACATTGTAGGGGTAAGACGGACCAACGGATAAAATGGTCCAAGAGTATAAAGATTTTGTTAACAAATGTTGGTTATAAAATTAATTTTTCTCAACATTTTTAATTATCCAACAGTTGCATCTTACCGTCTGAGGCTGCGGTCAAGCTGTCGCTACAAATGCTTCGATGCGTTTCTTTTCTACGTTTATCTTCATTGATAGAAACGAAAAGAAAAGTACTTCGAAGTATTTGTAGCTGCAGTTTGACCGCAGCCTTAATCGTAGATATGTATATTCATTTGATCAACCGTCAAATTTCTCGAAGAAGACCTTGTATTCTAAATAGTCCAATTTTGCAATGTGTTTTAAATAATTGAATTTACAAATCGTAATACATTAACATTTCCATTTCTTCTTTTTTTTGGACATGGTAACATTTCGTTATAAGTTATATCTAAATGTAAATAAAAATGAAAGTAAAATCTTAAAGTTGTCAATATTGAGTAAGAACAGTTGGGTTTGGAGTAAAATGAATTATTTAAATATGCATTTTTGTATGATGTATAATTATATCGTAAATAAATGAATAATATCCTGATCAATCACAGCTTTTTATTTTTAAGAAACTCTAATTTTTTGTAACAATAAAAAATATAATTATGAAATAAAAAGATAAGAAATGATTGTGAGATTTTTATTAATATTAATTATTATTATATTATATCTTAATTCTGTGTATAATATAAAGTTTCTATTTTAAATTAATTCACTTGTTGGTTCATTTTACTCCATGAATTGGTTCGTTTTATGCTGTAAATGAAGTAAAATGGACTAAAACTTAGTTTTAATAAAAGCCTGGTAAAAATTCCATAAATACAAAACTTAATATTCTAATATTGAAATAAACATTCTAAACTTCATAAGATTAATTGACCACGTCTGACAAATTTTAATATTCAAACTCACAACATTTCGACCATGGCTTTTCCCAGTGAGAAATGATTCGTCGATCGATGTCGAAATGATGTCGAATCGACGTCAATTTGACGGTGTCGATGTCGACGAATCATTTCTCACTGGGTTGGTCCTTTTCAAGTGATAATTGTGTCAGTGAATCCGTATGGTAAATCAAGAGAGCTGATCTTAATTTCACGAATCACATTGACACTAATCACGTTCCGTCGTTCCGGCTTTAATTTAATGAGTTATCATTAATTTTCAATCTCACCTTCAGTTGCAGCTCGTTTCCGTACCAGCAGTAGAAGAACACTTGAAACAGCATGCTGCCGAGGTACAGAGTCAACGAGAGAAATCCGACGCTGAGAATACTCGTCTGCGGGGAAAACTGAATTCAGTATATTTATGCGGTGCCGTGACACGCGGTGCAAATTAGATATTCAGTGGCAGCGACGCTTTCTTTGATCAACGATTGTCAGCTGCACAAAGAAATATTTGCAATAGAAGAATCTTTGCGGTGCCGATTGTAATCACAAGGAGTTAATCGTAGGGATTCAGTTTACGCGACCTTGGACATTTGGAAAATACTGGTGCACAGGGTGACCATGCTGAAAACGAATAAAATCGCCACGGTCCACACAAATAACGACTGTATCCTGCGCACGATCTCGTGTACGTATAAGTGATGTCTCACGCACTCGTCGATCATCGTGCCCTTGCCCGAATCGTTTCGATATTGCCCGGAATGATCCTTGAAGATCTTCGACAGACGGTAGCACAACAGCTCGATCTGCCCGCAGACGCGGAGGGTGAAGCCGTAGACGAGGGAGTCGAACGAGACGTTCAGCAGCACGCCGTAAAATATTGCGCCTACGTGCTGAAGGTAGGTCGCTAGATACGGATATAGGCCGGATATCGAGTACGGCAGGTACGTTTTGAACGGTAGAGGCCTGTCGCTCTTCTGGGGTCCCACGATGGGCGCGAGTATAAGAGCCACGCAAGTGGCCTGGGATATACTCATGAAAATTCTGACGCACCACTTGGCTGCGAGAAACGTAAATATTGAATAAATTAGTATGGCTCGTATGTGTTAATCACAAATTTCAAAGAATTTAAAGGACTCAGAGCCGTGACAGGGTTGGTAGTGTCTAAATATTCTATTCTAAGTTTATTGCGAAAAAATATCACCTCGGCCAGGGTATAAATATTGAAAGAATAAAAACTTGTCACCATAGAAACGTTGATAGCCGACACAGCTGGCAATTTTGGAGACAATTTATTGCGAAAAATATCACAATGAATTGTCTCTAATTAAAATTGTCAGTTGTGTCTGTTATCAGTTTTCCTACACTATAGATATTAAAATTTTTGTTCGAGTTTGTACACAGTTGAGTGTATAGAGGAAAGACCCCTATTAAGAGATAAGCACCTGATATGAGATAGCACGGTTTTTGCTGAATTAATAAGCGTCGTCTATTGGTCTCATCGTGGAATTTGTTCAGCAAACAATTCATTGTTAGATCGTGTAATCGTTGTGAATAAAGATTTGTGATAAAATTTTGATGATGATTTGAAAACCTACTTAAGTCTACCTCATGACAGAGGACTTTCCTCTAATTCTCAGAAAAGGTAGAGCAAAGAGAAGAATAGGAAATACGAAGTCTTCGTAGTCTTATATCACAAATGTCGTTGGAACGTGTGGAGAAATTTCGGATTTTACTTTAACGTATTTTTAATTGATTAGCACATTTAAGATTGACATTGTGTTACTACACATATATCCAAATGATAATTTTATTGCTAAAGTAAAGGTATGTTAAAAATTTTTACTGTCAGTAACTTGTACATATCAACTTTAAGAATTATTCAAATTATTAAAGTTCGTTATGTTTGCAATAATTTCGTCAGAATGACAATTACTGAATACCTTTGCGATCGTACTTAAGGAGTATCATCTTTTCCTCGGTATTCCGTGGCTGACACGTTTTACTTCGAAAACAATCCAGCAACATTGACACTTCGTCTTGTCGCGCTAAGAAGTTTCCGTATTTAAAGCATAAAGCTATATAAGTTAACGCTAAAAAGAGCCCTTCAGTTATATCTTCTATATCGTCGTGCGTCCTTATAAGCTCGATTACTTCCGATATCGTAAACTCGTATATTAACGTAACAATAGCATACCTGAAAGTTCGTGCTTATTGTATTTGTGTTGAATGTAATGTCATAATGATTTTAATTACATCTCAGTTAAGTAGAAATGCCACAATATTTGATTGTGATTCTTAAATAAAACAAAATGCATTGATTCCTAAGTAGAAGTTAAGTAAAAATAGATTTTCTATCAGCCAATATATAGTTTTAGCAATAAATAATTTTAGCAATAAGAATCTCATTAACAAATCAATTTTCCAAGGATGGTCTTATTGTATCTGTATTGCGTGTAATGTCTTAATGATTTTAATTACATCTTTAGCAATATCTCACAATGTTTGATCGTGATTCTTAAATGAACCAAAATGCATTGATTCCTAAGCAGAGGTTAAATAAAAACAGACTTTCAATCAGACAATGTAGTCAGATTGCACTTCTTTCGTGTTTAATATTGAGACATATAGTCGCAAAATGATTCTAGCAATAAGAATCTCATTAACAAATTAATTTCCCAAGAACATGATGAACGAAAAGATAGAAATTAGCTGCGCAGACTCGATTATGTAATATACATAATAGATTTGTATCTGTAATGAGGCAAGATAAAGATAGAACAAAAAAAAATACCATGCGATATCGTACCTGTAGCACAAACTTATGAAACGAATGAAAAAATTGTTATCTTTTGCCTCGCTCCATGCACCGCAGAACCAAAGAACCCGGAAATTCAATGGCAATATATCCATAATTCCGTGACGACCGCGCCGGTGGATGGTCTCCCTCTTGTCATGCCTCGCTATGCTTTGAAAGTATGGAGCTTGTGAGAAAGATATAATGAGACTTTCTATACATTGTCAACGTCCGTTCTCGTGAATTAGTAATGTTATCGCTGCAACGCCCTAAGCGTTCTTTAACATTTAATGTTGTCGAACAGCGGGAAAATCTGCTGATTTTCTTTCTCCGCTCTACGTTTTCTCCTTGTCCCTGTATTCATTTTCATACGTTCATCAGACGTCTGCGATGACACAACCGGTCATTTCTTAAATTATAAACTCGTGTAATGTATGCGGTACCGCATGTACGAGGAAATACTGAGAGTGAAGAATATTACAATATTATTACTATTGACGTGCGCGACAGGTTCTTTCGCCAACGTCGCTCGCCTGTCAGGAAAACTAACGCGAGCAGTTGGAAATTTTGTTGTTTGAAAGGATAATGAATCTGCGGACGCGCAGAGTAAACGACAAGTATATTTTGGGATTTTCACGTCGTTTTTAATTATTTTGCAAAGAAATATTCAACGGGAACTTTGATTTCATTCGTGTCATAAAACACAGGACACGAGAACTGGAGAATAATTTGTACAAGAGCTTCTGTATAGATACAAAAATATCTATAAAATTTAAAAATAAAGATAACTATAGCATGAAAATACATCAAACGTTAATTTAATTAAAATGATAATACGGTTGTTGACGAATAGACACGAAGATGTTAAATCGAAGCTTGCTGCAGCAAGTTAAAAGCAGAGTAGGATGTCTTTAAGATCTGCACAAAGAATATTAATTTAATACAATATTTTTGTATATACAACGTTTTATTATATCACTCATTAAAAAAATTATATATATTTATCGAAAGTCTTCACACTTTTTTATTATACAGTGTAATTTACTTAAGTTGACACCTGTTACCTGCACCGTTAAAGATATTGAGATGCTATTTCTACCGAGATAAATTAAACGAAAAGGCTACTGATTTGTCGAGTTGCAGTTTTCTTTAGAATTTTTCAGAGATTCCGATTTCCACTTTGACTTTTGAAATGGATCATATATTATATTTTTTATGTGGCACATCAAAGTCGGTTAAAAGACCAAATACAAAGATACAACGTTTGTCGCATTTGTCTAAATAATTGTCGCAAAAATAGCGTTGGTAAGTTTAAGTATTTCGCCACGTCCCCTGAGGGGTCGAATGCGTCACGATTTCGCTTAAATTGGAAGTCTAGTCCGTGACTCGAATCGTCAAGGTAAATTACTCCGTCAATACGCCTACACGTTTGCGGCTATTTCCCCCGTAAGTTTACGCGAATCTTTCTAAGGTTTTTGGAGTAGATATTTACTCCAGGTCAGTATTTTCCCTCCAAAAATTTTCGAGAGATAGAACTTCTATTTTGCATCATATTTTTCATCAGCACGCAGCTCTTTGGGGTCTTGTTTTGGTTCTTGTAACATAAGAACTTGAAAAAGTTGCCGATCTTATTACCTGTGATGATCTCTGTCGACGAGACAGGTATTTTCCGACGTACAACTCCACAGCCCTTTTTGCATCCCCTCCGTACACTCGCCATAAATAAGAGAACGTCCAGTTTCTCATAATTGGTGTACATTCCGTATCTCTTTTATGATTTGCGTTGCAAATCTAAAACCCACTGACGACGAACATAGATTATCTACTTAACTGCGCAGTGTAACTATTACTGCGTCTTACCTTGATGATCTGAGTCGATAGACTCAGATCTCATCCACGCGACCTTCTGAGCGCGGTGGCAGACACGTAGCGAAGTGTCCAAACTTATCAACGTCGACAATTATTCGTTTAGACGTAACATGCGTTATATCTTTGTCTTTCAACTAACTTTGATATATTACATAAAAACACGTATAGGTTCATTTAAAAAATTAAAGTGAAAGCCCGAATCTCTGCAAATAAAAGTTCCATAAAGAACTGCAAATCGGTGAGTCAGTAGCCCCTTTATCCAGTTTATCTCATTGTCAGCAAAGACCTCATCTCAATATCATTGATGATCCGTTCGGAAGATAATAGGTGTATTGTTAAGTGAGCCAACCCGTATATTACCCTTTAACATACTCACCCACGTGAAAGTGCTAAGAATCAACGTGCACACTCCATAGAATGAAATCATTCTTCCTCTCTGACTGATCATCATTACAAACGACAAGCTCTGGCGTTGCTTGACCGATATTACCGTCCAATTACTGGCATAAATAGCACGCGCGATACTTTTAATCTGAACGAGAAAAGATTTAATTTGACGATACGACGTGGAATCTCGTTCAAAAGTGAAGTAGTCCGGCAGTTCAATATCCGCGGTACCTTTAAGTCGAGCTCGTTCCCGTACCAGCAGTATGAGAACACTTGAAACAACATTGAACCTAAGTACAGCACGAAAGCGAAGAATTCAACGCCGAAGAGCTCCTTCTGCAATAAGAGCAACATCGTTTACGTTAGCAACACACCAATTCTATTGAGTCACGTTTCACACTGATTTTCATACATTGGACATCTGATAAATACTGCTGCAGAGAGTGATAAGACTGAAGAAGAACAAAATGGCGATAATCCACATAAACAGCGATTGTATCCTGTACGCGATGTTGTGCACCGAAACGTGGTGCCTCACGCATTGCGCGATGGCAAACTTCTCGACAGCGTCGTGTTTCTTCTCTTGGTTGGTCTCCTGAAGAAATCGGAACGTCTCCGACAATCGATAGCACAAGAGCTCGATCTGCCCGCAGGTTTGAATAATGAGACCGTAAACGAGGGAGTCAAGGGCGACGTTCAGTAACACCCCGTAAAATATGGCTGCAACTTGCTCGAGGTAGGTCAACAAGTAGGGAAGGAACTCCGCCATGGAGTACGGTACGTACATCTTCAACGGCAGCTGCCTTGGGTCCTGACCCATCAGAGGTACTATGAGGACCATTAAACCCGTCATTTGCGAGATGAGCATGAAGGCACAGGCGATCCTCTTAGCTTCGTTCACAATACATCACGGCAGAGTGAAGTTTGCAAAATAATTAGGTTCTATGAGACGTAGGGGCGGTTACAATTACATTTATTCTCTAAGGTAATTAGTTTGCCAGCAATCTTTTAGCGTAAGTAATTTAGTCGAAGACACAAGACTACCAGCAAGCAGAGAAAAATAATTTAGCTGTTGCAGCAAGGTAAAAAAATTTTGCTTGGTAGATTTGTTTATACATTAACTTGTTGAAACAAAACGGTTCATCTGTGCTGCGCTTTGATTTTGCAACAAAATTCTCGCTGGTAGAATGTAGGTGTAAGAATAAACTAACCCACGTAGCACAGTGCATTGGCTGAACGTTGGCTAAATATTGGTATAATGTTGGTTATATTAGAAATGCCTCGGCTGATATTGTCCAACGTAAAAGCAATATTGGCCATGAAATAAATGTAAATATTGCACTATGATTATTATATAATATTAGATTTATTTGGAAGTGCATTGGCCAATATTTGACAATGTAATAAGAATACTGGTCTAATATTAATACAATATTAGCTAAATAAGAGAAGGCGTCCGTGTTACAATATCGGACCAATATTGAGAATACTAGATTTACATTATTTCCCAATATTGCGCCAATATATTGTGCTACTAGGAAAATTAAACAAAGAAGAAATTAAGTAAAATTGTTATCGGAACAACATAATTCGCAAATCTAACGAGGCTATTCGAGCAAATAAAATTAATCTTCTTAACAAATACTTTTGATGTCATATAATAATTAATTAAACTTGCCACGCAGCTAACTATCGCTGCTAAACCCTTTTCTTATAAGCGCGTATAAATATTTCTTTATATTTGCAAGCGTATTATTTTTTTAACAAAATATTTTATGTTCCAACTGAAATTCCTAAATGTTTTCCTTAATGTCCCCTTCAGGAATGTTAAAAGTACCTTTGAAATCGTATTGTCTCAGTATTGATTCCTCCGTTGAATCTTTTGGCTGACACAGCTCAGCGCGAAAACAATCAAGCAAGGCGCGTAATTCGCACTGTCGCGCCAAAATGTTGAAATACTTTAGGCACAAACTCACGTAAGTCAACATGAGGAACAGACCTTCCGTTAAATCCTCCACGTCGTTTCTCATACGTACAAGCTCGACTATCTCGGATATCGTAAAGTGATATATTATAGCAGCGATTGTATACCTAACAAAATTATGCGCATAAAAGAAACGTAGAGCGTGCGTTACATGCACAAAAATGTTTAGCATTTAATTAACAATGATTTCAACGGTAAAATGTTTTTGACAAAATTACCAGATCATTCTTTTGACGTGACTTATAATTAGTGTACCTGTAACAGAAGCTGACGAAGCGTACTATCAAGTTGCCATCTTTATGTTCTTTCCATACACCGCAGAAACGAAGAACGTAAAAGTTCACCGGCAATAAATCCATATTTTTATCGTCGTGTCTAGAATAACAGTAAATCTTCATTCGACAATAATAAAATATAGCATGTCTTCTGTTCAGAACTGTTGAGGCGTCTCCCCGCCGACAATGTTCTTGCATTAATAACGACGTCTAGATACAGGTATTGTTAGGGTGCGTTATCTTTTAATACTGTCCAACAGAACAAAGCATATGGACTTTTCCCATTACCGCTCGTATTCTTATTCTCGATTTAAATTCTTATTAGACGATGTAAACCGCTGGCAAAATGTCGCGCAAGTCTCCAATGTCAGCAAGTTATCACTTATTCGAGAGATTTTCTTCTGCATTGTCTCACATATAGAAATCGTAAAGTAACCGTAAATATAAAATACAGTCGTGAAACAGTTTGTAAAATTACGAATTTATTGCGAAGAATATTTTATTCCTAAGATAAGACGTTCCTGACATACGGTTCAATTGTTTTGCTAAAAAATTAACAACCAAGAAATTGCTTCTGTAAAAGTTCTTCGAAGAATCTTTCTTGAAGGAGTAAAAAAACAAGTGCGTAAGAAAAATTCAAAATTGTTTGTAATAAAGTTTAGAAAATAAAGAGCTGTTGAACACTTCAACAATTAACTATCCGAGGTCAGCTCAGTGTACATTTAAGTGACTTAAAACTTTGTAAATTCATAAAACATATTTTATAAAATTACTTTAAAATATATTTTATGCAATTCACAATTTAAAAGAGATTTAATGTTTCATGTAACTCTTGCGGCATACGTGCAGAATGGATTTTAAGATCAAAGTAACGTGTGAGAGCTTAACGAGACCGGCATTGAAATACGTCTTGTCCAAGAAGAATTTTTTTAATTAGTAAAATATTTTACAAAAAATTGCAGCTTGTTTTCTATAAATAAGTAAGTATGGTGTGCTTTTAAAAAGACTATCTACAGAACAAAGTTTCTAATATAAAAATATTTTAAAATCCTATATCTGTGCTATTATAAATATTGTATAAAAACACATCTGTCAGATTAAGACAGCGGTACTATACTACAGCAGGCGAAGTACTAATTTGAAGCATGTTGCAACAAGTTGAAAGCAGAGTAGGACGTCTTTATGATCTGCGAAAAAATAAAACATCAACATACAACTTACGAGACATTTAACAAATTACACGCATATTACATCCTTTCTTAAATAATATGTGTACAAAATATATGTGTATGTATACGAAATTATTATACGTATAGAGGAAAGTCCTCTATTACGAGATAGACTTCTGATATGAGATAGCGGAGTTTCTGTTAAATTAATAGGCACAATCTATTGGTTCCACTGTGAATTTATTGCCCTTGGAGTGAGACTTGTTTGGTGGAAAACTGATTGTTAGATCGTGTAATTGTTGCGAGAAAAGATTTGTGATTGGACGTTGAAAACCTGCTATCTCGTATTAGAAGCCTAACAGGGGACTTCTCTCTACATATACACACTTACCCACGTGAAAGTGCTGAGGATTAACGCGCAGAATCCATAAAAAGACAGTATTCTTCCTCTCTGGCTCATCATCATAACGAACAATAAATTTTTACGTTGCTTGGCCGATATTATTGTCCAATCGCTAGTATAAATAGCATGCGCGATACTTTTATTCTACATGTATAAAGAGTATATCATGATTTGATGCCATAAAGCTCGATGTACACTATCGGTTCGCTCACGTTCCGCTTCTTTGTCTCTCTTTTTGTCTCGTTCCCTTCAGTCGCAACTGGAGCTCTACTCGTAGTGTGAACTTACATAGTGTGCACTTACATTATAAACAATGAAAAAACATTCGGATCGGACTGTGAGCGGACTGTGAGTGGATAGTGTGTATCGAGTGGCCATTTCTGTATCTTATACACTATAGTGAAAATGCTAAAAGTGAGTGGCCTCGTCTCTTTCTGACTGTCTTCTGAAAAAGGAACCGCTTTAAGTATTTTCACTATGTTCCAAGATACAGAATTGATCCCCAGGCCTCGTAGTAAAGTATCGCTAAACAGTGAACTAAATAAAATTTATTAAACGGATTATACCTTTAAATCGAGTTCGTTACCGTACCAGCAATATGTGAATACTTGGAACATCATTGATCCCAAGTACAATATGAGAGTGAAGAATTCAGGACTGAAAAAGTCTTTCTGGAATAAAACCATTGATCGCGATATTATTTAAACAGATATCGATTTTTCTAAATTGAAAGGAGACGTACGTGACAAAATCAAATATATTTGAACGTTTTATAAAAACCACATGTCTCCTTTCTGTTCTCACTAGTTCAATTGTAGCCGGCTGTGTTCAGACAATTTACAAATTACTGATTTACCTTAGACATTTGAAAGATGCTGGTGCAGAGAGTAATGAGACTGAAAGAGAACAAAGTAGTGGTAGTCCACACGAATAAAGACTGTATCCTGTTTGTGATGTTATAAACCGAAATGTGATGCTTGACGCATTCCGCGATCGCGGAACTTTCGATGCTGCCGCGTTTCTTCTCTTCATTATTATTCTCTCGAAGAAATCGGAACGTTTCCGTCAAACGATAGCACAGAAGCTCGATCTGCCCGCAGGTATGAATAATAAGGCCATATACGAGAGAGTCGAAGGAGACGTTCAGCAGAATTCCGTAAATCAAAGTTGCGCATTGCTGAAGATAAGTTAACACGTAAGGAAGAAACGTCGCAATGGAGTACGGTACGTACATTTTGCACGGCAAAGATCTCTCGTCCTTATTATTAGTCAACAGGGGCGCTATGAGCATTAGTGCACCCGTTACTTGACACATAAACATGAAGAAACAGGCGGTCTGCTTAGCTTCGTTCGCAGCGCATCAGAAATTTGTAAAATAATTGATTAGGTGAGTTTGCAGCACACTCGAAAATATATTTACTGAATTTTTATGAGATCGATTTTATCAGACATCCTTTGTCATAAATGATTAATTAGATTCTTTAAAAAAAATTTTTTTATATGTATATGTATATGTATATTTATTCGTTTTATAAATGTGAATATTATTTTTTCTTAATAAGAAAGTTTAAATTAATAAGAAATACTTTTTATTTCGCAGAGTTGGAAGATTTTCGCACGTATATTATATTTTTTCAACTTAATTATGTAGGTATTAATAAATGTACCTTTGCGATCGTACTGTTTCAGTATCGATACTTCCGTGGAATCTCTTGGCCGGCACATCTTGGCGCGAAAACAATTTAGCAGAGCACGTAATTCGCACTGTCGCATTAAAAAGTTGAAGTACTTTAAGGATAGAGTCATGAAAGTTATGGCGAGGAATAGACCTTCCGTTAAGTCCTCCACGTTGTTCCTCATACGTACGAGCTCGATTATTTCAGATATCGTGAAGTAATATATTAAAGCTGCGACTGTATACCTGTCCAAATTGTGCATACAAAAGGGAAGAAGAATGCACGTTACATATATAGTTTCTAAAAATGTTTATCGCTTGCATGTACAAATAACTTTAATTTTAATACATTAACGAGAAAATCTTCTTGATAGAATTAACGAATCTATTTTTGCACGATGTATTATAATTATTCTACCTGTAGCAGAAGCTGACGGAACGTACTATTAAGTTGCCATCCTTACGTTCCTTCCACACTCCGCAGAAACGAAGAACGTAAAAGTTCACCGGCAATAAATCCATATTTTTACCGTCGTGTCTAACGTAACCGCAAATCTTCTCTCCAAGAATAACTAAATACAGCATGTCGTCAGCTCAGAATTCTCAGATGTCCCTTTAGCCTGAAACATTCTTGCATTAATAACGATGTATAGGCACACGGCATTGTCAGGGTGCATTACTTTTTTATACTGTCTACCGGGACGAAACATCCGCGCTTTTCCCACTGCTGCTGGTATTTACATCCTTCAATTTCATATTTTTATTAGATACTACACTGATAATATATCATGCGATATGGATATGAGTTATCGCTTGTTTCAAACATCCTCCTCTATCTCTAATTTTACACGTGTATAAAATATAAAGTGATCGTAAATATAAAATAAGATTGTAAAGGATTTCTGCGATCAAAATTTACTCCTATTAACACGTTATAAAAACAAGCTTTGAATTAAACCTATATTATTACTATTAATTAAGTAATTTTGTTAGAAAACTATATAGTTGAAGTTTCGACCGTTCTTGCCACGTTCTTAAAGCGAAAATTTAAAATAATGAAATTTAAAAGATTATATTTATAAATATTTATAAATGAAACAAAATTACAACAAAGAATACAAAGTTATTAAATAATTAAGAATAGATGAAAAAGATATTTTCACGAGAACAAAAATATCGGTATTTTGTTGCCAAAATGTACAAGTGCGAGGACAATCTTTGGAATCTCCGAGGGTAAGAAAAAAAATTTATTAAAAGCTGAGGCCAAGAAGTGCTTCGTTTAAATATAAATTAAGTATACGCGCGTACATATTATAAGCATGTGTTTTCCAAATAAGCATATCCCTCCGCATAAATTTTCATACACCATTAGCGTTTTGTGCCGAACTTACGTAATTTCTAAGAACCTCGAGTCTTAACGCTTTAAATTTGATGATTTCAGCAAAATTTTGAGTTTATGAAAACTGATTTATCATCACTTACTAATTAAGACACTGTAAAGACTATTTTGTTACAATCGCATCTCATAATAAATTTAAGATAATTTTAAATATATGAGATCGTGTCAGGAGTATTGTTCTTATAATTTGCAATAATTATTTCTGTGTACTTTCTCATTGACGATTATTTTTCCTTATTCGCGGTATACATATAAACTTTCTTTGCTTATTAGTTCATTAAATATTAGACGTTTTTATTAATTTATGAGGGTTTCATATTATAGTGATAACATTTTTTACATTTTGTCACAGGCCGTGACTAATGCTGCATTTGAATTTGGCGCCACATTCTGTACAAATATTTGATTGGCTGTCTGTTCTTCCGCCACCATGCCGGAAAGCTGACTACAGTGCATCTTGGGAACTGCCTCACATGGTTTTTTACATGGTCCAGATGTATGTACAGTCTATGGTGGGCGCAACATGGTTAAAAAGTTATCGGATCAACATGGAGCACGAGTGAGCACGAGGCTACGAACAGAATCACCTATTGGCCACGTACAGTCGCGGAAATGGCTAATTTCGCGAAAGAGCAATTGATGAAGTACGGTTGGAGAGAAGGTAAGTATAGCCTCGCAATTGTTTCTTCACTCCGAACGACGAGGCGCATTGTCTTCCACCGTGTGGCGAACGGATGACATGTAACCTCGAAATATTTCTTTCGTTACGTCGTTCAGTTCCTATTTCCACATCCTCCGTGACCTCGCCTCTATCTCGAACCTCTTTTAATCCCCTTGTTTAACATATTCGATAGAATATGAACAGGTTACATTAGATTACATGCAATTTCAATGTGAATACATAAAAGTCGAATATAATCTGATCATATTCTGTTTAAAAGCTTCTAAACAGGCTAATTATTCACGAAACACGCTGTCCATGTGACGGCAATGAGATACGAAATGATAACAAAACGGACTAAAGATTTGTCTTCCCCTTTTTCTTTTTTTGACAGGGAAAGGACTCGGTAAAGATGAAAATGGCATAACGAAACCCGTGAGACTCGCGACAAATCAGAATAAGGCGGGTTTGGGATACAACGAGACCGATCCTTGGAGAGAGCTGTATGATAAAACTATCAAAGCAATTAAAATTGAGTCGGGCAACAACACAGCTTCTTTGTCCGTTGACAGTACAAAGAACGCTTTGTGCTTTGGAAGGGAAAAAACTGTACTCCCAAAGTTTCGTAAATCGCCAAGCTTCGTGGAGTTGAGACTTGAGAAATATACTGACGAATATGCGTTCCCTCCAAAGCTAAATCCTGAACAACGGAAGACAATGAGACGTGATCTTGCATCAAGTGGAAAATTGAAAAGGATCGCGGAGCAGGATAGGAAATTTTTATATGAGTCTTATTCTCCAGAGCAAACATTGAACGTAAATACAGATCTAGAGCGGGTGAACGACATCGTTGACTGGATGACAAACGCCACGTCAGACGTTTTCACGTCACTCAAAGTGAACAAGCATGAAAGAGGCGAGTTTGAAAATATGTTGAAATATGGATTAAATTGGCTTACCCAAGTGAGTCCTGAAACTGTAAAGAGACTCGGAAACAGAAGAAGAAATAAGGAGCAACTGAGCACTTGTAATTTCGAGGGACGCAGCGAAAAGCATGAGTCTATGAATAACAGAATGCTTTGCCAAAGGATGGAGAAGAATAATGTGCTGCTAGAAGAGATAATGGCAGTATTGGATTGTTTAAGGGACGATACAGATAAATCTGATCAATTCTCAATTGTTCCTAGTGTAAATCTAAATGACTTTCGTAAGAAGCGAACGGAGTATTTTTCCCAAGAAACTAAAAGGGAGAAATTAAAAGAATTTAGAACATTTTACGCGTACGATACAGAAATGGGTAAGTACAAAGTGGAATTGTGTTCAGAATTGAGAAATAGTATTGAGGGAAGCGGAGTGATAGATGAGCAATGGAATGATTTAAAAGAGGTAATAATCGATTTAAAAGAGGAGAAGCGACAGAAGTGTGGTAGCAATTTGATAGCTCCAATAAATTCGAACCAATGCGGCCAGTATGTCTTAAAACCAGGAAATCGTTTACACGAGAAGGACGAGTTAATCAAGGAACCAATGAGACAAATCAGGAAATTCGATAGGCAGACAAGCAGTTCGACACGGGCGAAAAGCATTCGTGAAATGATAAATAAAGATAATGTAAATTCTTTAATAAAAAACTTAACGACGATGGGTCTTACCAAAGAGGTAAATGCAAACACCATTAGAAGAAAACCTACTCAAACTCATCTCACACCTGTTTAAAAAGGAAGAAAAAGAAATGAAAAAAAATTAAATGATGCTGACAATCGAGTAATTTTTTGCTTTTATAATTTCAAGGTATTTTTATATTTAAATATTTTGCAGAATTGCCATTCGTATGGTAAACCATTAGGAAATTAAATCATGTACTCGATATGATACCATCGTCGTATCCAATTATAAATGCCGTTTAGCGTTGCACAGTTTCTATGTATGTATGCACGTAAAACAAATGCGCGCGTATAATGTATTTGTTCGATATAAAACACGCCTTCGATATTGTATTCTTAATAAATATCTGCATCGAAGTTTTGTCTTTTATTTGAAATGTAACATAACAATATTTACATTGATCTTGTGCAGCAATCTCTGTTGTACATTTAGACGAGCGTACGAGTCGATGTCCTTCTCTAAACGCGTTAGAAACGCTTTCGCAAAGTTATAAATAACATATTGATACTACAGTATAAAATGATGTATCTAATTTATGTTTTATACACGACCGTCGAAATTGTTGTATCTCCAAAAGGGAAGAGGTGTATTTCTCTGCCGACTTTTACGTTTCATATAATGACGAAAGTTGCATGACAATACATTGTTACATTTGTGTAATATATCCTCACGCAAATGTATATCAATAATTATATTACAGTTCGCCAACACTCGCGTTCAGGTGTCGTATAGCACAGAGTATTGTATTGGCTTAGCAGATACTGGTGATAAAAAAATTCAGTGTCATGAACCTATTCTTATAAAATAAAATTAATTTTCTAAGGCCACTAGGGTATTCCACAGAATCATTTCATTTTTACCCCAAGTTACATACACCGTCGTCATGGATCATGGAATGCGTCAATGTTGAAGCATACAGTGACTTTACTGTTCGCAAATTTCTTTTCTGTTTCAGTTTCTTAATTATTCTGATATGACATAAAATGATATACGTGATGTGTTACAAATTTCGTATTACACTTAAACGCTGAGTTATAAGGGGTTTCTATAAGAGTTGGGATTAGAAATTCTAGCAAGTGTTAAACTACATCTCATCAAGCTCTTACCAGTAATCTTAATGGTCTATCACTATTTTTTTTACTATATAAATCAATTTGTAATTAATCAATAAATGTTATCACTGCAAACTGTACTGCTATCCAGCAATGACAAATATTTATTTAAGAAATTGGAACGAAACTTTACTGCATTACAATTATTCAACGTTTGTTATTTTTCAAAAATGTTCCGTTATATAATTAAAAACAGTATTTTTATACATTTTATAAACAAATTTTTATATATATACATCTGGAATTTGCTTTTAAAAAAGAATCAAATCCACAAGCTGCAAGAAGTTTATAAATATATTGCACATAAAATTAAATTCATAGCAATGTTTGCTTTAAGAAAATGATACTAGAAAGCACTGGCATACAAAATAGTTTAATTCAAATGTATCTTAATTGAATAGATATGTTTTAAAGAGAAGTTTGTTTTCATCTCTGCAAAATGCACATTTATATAATTTTATCACTGTAAAAATGTATAGACTAAAAAACGCGGATTCTTTTTAATCTCGAACATTATCCACAAGGCTATCTTTTAAGGACACATAAAGGAAATATTTAAACATGTGAACATATGTTCTTAACAAAGCTTATTTATGTTCCGTAAGATATCCGCAACGACTACATTAGGCTTTGCCAAAATTAAAACATAAAAACAACATAATAACTTCATTTAAGATTTCATTCTTTCAATTGTCTAAAGTAGAGATATAAAACAAATTAAAATATAATATAACTAAGATACAATATAACTAAGATAATATTTTTGTAAGAATTGTAAACATTTTTTTAACTGCCAAATTAAAATTTGTAAAGATTATTTTTAATTATAAATGCGACGGAGTCTTCAGATTAAGTCATTATTTTGTTTAAATGGAAAATAATATTTACATTTTACGTTAGTAAATTGAGGAAGCATTGTTTTGGAATTTATACATGTGCTTAGATAACACAAGGCTATTTAGGAAATTCTGAAATATGTCGATTAATAATATTATAATACATGATATTATTATAATACATTTCTAAATAATTTCGTGTAAGTACGTGGAAGCAACAGCATTATTTGTGTTATTAAGGTAAAGGAAACATTGCTTTGCTGTGACTTTCGGCCACAGATATTCAACTGTCAATTCTTGTAGATAAACATACCAAAGCCACGTCTTTCGAAAAAATTGTTATTACACAAATAAATATATTATTTAAGTTTCGTTAGAAAATGACAATTAAAAAGGCTAATGCTCGGAAAAAAACTGCCCAAATAACTGACATAGTGACATTCTTCTTCGTAGATCGGTATTTTAGATTTTGCTACTTGTCTTTTTCTCTTCATATCTTGTATAAAGAGGCGGAAAAGATAATTGTAAACTATGTAAAAGGTCTAATTGACAGCGTATCCTTAAATACTACTTTGGTTTAAATAGAAAAATATACAAAACCTTCATATCGTTCGTCACGATCGCTCAATGTACCAATTGCACCGATATCGATTAACGTCAATATATGTGTAATCAATTAAATTTTTCTGTTTATGCTACACGCGAAATCATAATTCGTAAAAAGACAGTGAACCGTCAACCGATCGGTTAGACTATCGGTGCAAATTGGCTGTAGTCTTACCTGTGAAACTTAAAAATTTAATATTAATCGTAACTAACAATGGAAATTGCAATGACACAGCCTGACAAAATCGAAGATTTGCGAAAATTGATTAATTTTGTCGCCTCAAAACCTGGATTATATTTATAATAGAATCCATAAGCTGCATAAGTATAAATGGCATAATACTAGAAAGCAACCAACAACGCTTCGATGTTTGCAAAGAGATGCGTAAATAAATAATTAGTTTGAGGATTCGAAGAAAGCTCCCTTCAAGCTTTCAGATTGCGATTCACAGCTCCTGTATCATTCCTGTCACTTATTTGATTCCACTTGCGCTTAGCAGGAAGATCAATAAAAAAAAAGTTAGTCTTATAACGCATGGAATCAACACTATCAGAAGTGTGTTTAAACGCATTTGTTTATAGTTTTTCTTTTAAAGGCGTAATAGCCGACATTCCTGCCGCTTCTGCTTAGAGTGATTGGTTTTCTATCGTTGCGAGTACGATTGCTACACGAAACGCTTGTATCGTTCACTTTTACCCAGATCACATACATGTTGGACGCATTAACTTTGTGCGTAGTAATAGCGTTCCTGAGCACACAGGGGTCTATTTTGCGAGGTATATAACTGAATCCAGGATGGTTAACTGGTCGGACTTTCGCGCGTTTCGCGCACAAACCTGTGACGTAAACGTCCTCCAGGTGTAGCAATGGCGTTACCAGCGCTGCTTGATACAACTTGGACGCCACACCCGTACTCATAACATACCCTGTGCCTGATAAATAGTTTGGATATGTTTTCTCAGAGTACATATATTTGGGTGTGTACCTGCGTATTGTAAATCGTCACTGTGTTAAATTACTTTTCCGTAACGTCTTGCTAAACTAATATAACAGAGACGAAAGGATACTTGCCACTTGTTCTTGGGATCTAGTATTGGTTTAGCGTTACAAATGAGAGAGCCTAGAAGAGTCTCCGCTTGCGTTCTCGAGTGCAGCGTTTGCAGAAGCAAGGGAATATTCACGAACATGTCGTCGTCCGTTTTCATGAGGTATTTCGCTTGATCACAATTCGACGTCACCCACTTCAGCATCATGACTGACTTGAGCGTCAAATTGTTATATGTATCAAAGAAGCGCTCTTGCACAATATCATTGTACTGAGAACTTTCCTCAACAATCATATTCTGGAAGAGATGCAACAATGATTAAGCAACAAATAAACGCATTGCAAAAGTAATTTTCTAATACAGGAATAAAGTTGTAACTTACATTGAGTGTATCATTGTCACTTTTTCCTAGTAGAAATGCTATTTTTACTGTAGAATTATATAAATTATATAAGTTATATTTATTGGCCCAAGTACTTCTAATAGCGGCGCGGGCCTCCTGATTGGCGACTGCCGAGCATATAATTATTAGCAGGTATGGCGGTAGTGAACAGATGCCAGTAGGACTGAAAATCGATGTGTTGTTCTCCGGGTGAATATAAACACAGAGATTTCTTGATGTATTGTACGACCATCCAGGCAATTGTGCTGTAAATTAATTATTTGCGTTAGTTTTTCTTAAATCATGTCGAATGTGTTGATATCGTGAAAAATACTGTTTCATATTAAACTAATTGTAATCAGTATCTGTATCTGTTCAAAGATGTGATAAGATTACGAGGTATAGTTTCTGTTCAAAAATGTGATAAGATTACGAGGTATAATTTGTCGCCTTCGTTACTTTTAAATGTTACTTTAAAATCTTTATTATGTACCATTTAATACGCATTTAACTAACCCATGGATGTTATCAAGCGGACGCTACCAAGAGGTTCCGCGGAGGATGGAGTTTCACTTAAGCTGGAGAATGGACTCTGAGCGGAGTGATACGCTGGCACGTACAGGAGGCCTAATATGGCCAGAATCACAAATCCTATTGCCAGTCGCCGAACAAAAGATGCCTTGCCTTTGACACTGCCACTACTGTTGACAGTGATCGCAGGTAAATCCATAGGCAGTAGTCGTGATCTGTCCATCTATATTGAAAGGAAACAAACACTTGTATCAATTCTCCCACAAATATTGACAAATATTAATAATTAATAAATAATTAATAGTACGCTGCCTAAGAAAAATTGGAGTGCATCAAACGCAGTCTAAATAATCAGAAGCAATTTGAATACGCGAAAATTCTTTCTTCACACACGAGGTACATTTGGTTACAATTGAGCTAAATAAAGATTCGCGAGACTATTATCAGGTTTAAAGCACTACATTTCCAAAAATGAAAAAAATTTATTATAATTTATTATTTACCTAATCTGTTAATATGATTAATGAATAAAATGATAATATGAGGAATAAAGGGCTACGAGCCGTGACAGGGTGTTGGTGTCTAAATATTTTATTCTAAATTTATTGCGAAAAAACATCACCTCGGCCAGGGTGAATAAAATATTTAGACACTAACACCCTATCGCGGCTCGTAGTCCTTTATTCCTCCAATTTGTGTTTAACACATTTGAGCCATACCAATTTTATTAATTTGATAGTAATATGATTAATGTGCCTTGCGACATTCGATAGCGAATTGGTGACTAATCTCATAGAATTTACCGATCCAACGTACATTAACATTTTAGCAATACAGAATACCTCTCCCGTTCACGTCCCGTTTTTTTCGCAAAGAAACGACACTCTCTTGACCGCGATATCAGCGAGCAATGCCGCATTAAGTACATGTATACTAGCAGAGCTGCCATAACAAAAGGCTATTAAAAAAAAGATAGCGTTGGCTCGTGCTAGTGAACGTCATTGGTCAGCTGTACAGTGATAAACAGAATGGTTGCGACACGTTTTCTGTTAAAAGTTTAGGAACTCGAGAAATAGAACGTTGAAAATGATTTTGCAATGGCCATCGAGTAAAATATTCCTCGGGGAAGATTTTAGGTGTGCAACCCTCAATCTACCCAGAGAACACTATGACGTCTTAAATAGTTCTAAGACGTCTTATAAAGTTGTCAGAAAGACGTCTTAAAGACATCTTTAAGACGTCTTGAAGATAAATCCAAAAGACGTCCTCGAGACATGTATTACAGGCATATCGACTGATCTCTTTCGCAAGGTCGTATCTCGATATTACGCAATTTCTGGATTTTGTACTTGGGCCGCGGTCAAGCGGACATCGAAGAGTTATTTGCTCTTTTATAGGAATGAGAACTAAGCTTCTCTTGGAAGTCGCGATTACTACTTTCAGGTGTAGTATGCTGAGGAATTACGATTATTTTTCTAAAACTCTGCCGTTGATAGACCTCCTTATATCCCATTCTTCAACGATTTTTAAATGCGAGTTACTTTTAAAAATTATCTCCTCCTAGCGGATTAATTTATGAATCTTTCGTGCTGCTAAGCACCTACTTGAAAGTAATCGATACTCTAAGCTGTCAGTAATGTGCGGTTCTGGTTATGGGTGGCTGTCACCCTGGTAACATTTCCATTGCAATTCTGCTGTAAAACTGTACGAAAAATCATGCGTTAACTCTTGGGCGGATCATGCGTTTTCTATTTCCAACTTGGACTATCTTTCTGTTGACAGAAACTTGCACTCAGAATTGTTGAAGATACGTGTATGCATTTACGTACAGCGGAAAATGCCTGCGCAGATCGCAGTGCAATATAATCGCGCCAGATTTGTAGCAGCGCCTACTGCTAAGTAATACATTTAGCAGAATTCAACAAGAATTACGTCAGATGCTTGCACGTTCTTTTTGCGTTTCTGCCGGTCGGATCTGTACTCAAAACTCTGCCGCAAATGTCCATGAAGAGTTTAACGCGATCTGCTGTTATTCTTCTGTCAGGCAGATACTTCGATATTGTTTTCACATTTCCGCTGCATGTCTATTTTTGAGCGAATAGTATAAAATTTTACAGTAGCTTCTTACAGCAGACTGCTGCAATAGTAAGTAAGTACTTGTCAATACCAAATATTATGCACTTCTATCGCAATTTTGGGCTGTTTCTTGCGCACTTCTGCGGGTCATATCTGAACTGTCAGATTGTGTTACCAGGGCACAACTACCACAATCGTTATACACTACATATTGCACTACAAATCTCATTATTCTAATTTCACAAATTTTTCTATTTTTAAAATACTTTCAAACATCTTAGGAATATGTCACTGACGCTTTAACAAATGTATTAATTCGAACTTTAAAGGTTACATAAACACTACTTGACATATAATCAATATTTTATATTTTTATAAAGACGTCTTTTTGACAATTCCTTAAGACATTTTTTTCTGACGTCTTAAAGACGTCTTCTAGTAAAGTCTTGAAGATGTCTCTTTTAAGACGTCGTTTAGACATGCATGTTGTCTGGGAAGATACAGAATTGACTCCCTCATAGGAAAGTGAGAGTCGATTGGTTTAAAAACCACGCGAATAGCCAGTCGACCTGGGGCTCGATTCTTGAATTTATTCGAAGGAGAAACGTATGCGAAAATTCTGCTCTTGCAGAAAAGTTGCAAGTTGATTGGCTACTCGCATGGCTTTAACCAATAGACTTTCAACTTTTCTGTCAGAGCAGAGTTTTCGTATACGTTTCTTCTTTGAATAAATTCAAGAATCGGGCCCCTGCAACTTTTCCGTAAGAGCAGAATTTTCGCACACGTTTCACCGTGGAATGAATTGGAGAATCGCGGCGACACTAATCACCGAGCCGTTCGCTGTCGGTTCCACCGCGTCGCGAGCATCCTCCACCACCGACAGCGCGCTCGCAATTACGGAAACGCGTGCCGACATCGCGCGTCCATCCCTCGCCAAGAAACAACGAGAGGCTCGGCCTTGGCGCGCCATCAGGCTGCGCCCTGTCGATCTGTGCGACCCGAGGATCATCTCGCGGTCCTCGCGTCTCACCCAACGTACGCGAGACGCGTCCACTCGTCGACCGCGCGTAAACAAACGGACGGACGCCCGTGACATAAACAACGGCCTTCACCTTTCGGCCGCGATGACAACTGCGTGGCCAGGCCGCATCTGGCGCTTCTCCATTTACCCTCGTCCGCGTGGAATGACAGCTCGGCTCACCGGAACGTCGCGCGCCGCGGAAGCGGCGGAAGACGCGCGGTCGCGTGCCACGGATACGCGGTGAGCAGACGGAAAAGGGGTTCCATCTAATGTCCCCCTCTCTCGCTCGCTGTCTCGTCTACCGGCGTGGTCACACGACCAAGTCGCCGGAGGAAGTCGGCGCGCGTGTGACCGCCGCGCGCCTGCGCGCCGGCGCCTTTCCGTAATCCCGCGGTAGCGCGCGACGAAGCCTCGGGAGCACTTCGATAAGATACAAGGAGCGATCGCCCGGTAATCACCGGGTTTTTCTTGCCGCCCCGAGATACCGTCCGCGTTTGTAATCTTGTTAATCAAAAAACAGTTACGTCGGTCACTTTTACTCCCGCGAAAGTCCAGTTTCTCCCCCTCTACGTTGGCCTCTGTCCTCTTTTTTTCTCTCTCTCTTTCTCTCGAATCGCGACCACCAGCTGACTCTCAGCTGCACCTTCGCGAGCGAGCGCGAAAACGAGGAAATCTCAGGCGGACTCGCGTGGTCGGTCGTGACGTGACGCCGGCAGAACAAGCGCTCGATCGATCTGACCTATTCTTCTTTTTTCTTCCCGTTTCTACGCGACACGCGTCTCACTTCACTCCGAACTAGTCCGAACGCGCGGCAGGTACAGACGGGTGCAGCTGAGAAACCAGGCCCGTGGAAGCTCGTGGATTCTCGCGCCTAGTTTTCCTCACCACGCGTCTCCCCGGGTCTGCTTCGCGACGCCCGAGACGGAACGTGCGCGCCGCGTTTTATTCCGAGCGCAACGGCGGCCGCGGATATGGACGGACCCGAGCAATCTCGCCCCGCTACCACGTCGCGTGAACGTCGCGCCGCACCGGACCCGAATGCGACGCGCGTCGCCCGCGCGGTCTCGGCTCTCGCGAGAGGACGAGCGGATCACTCGGCGGAGAACACGTCGGCGGACCAAATCGCAACGTGTCGCCACTCGTGGTCGAGGAGAGGAGAGACAAGGGGGGCGCGAGAAACCGCGGGGCAAAGCGCGAGAGCGACCGCTCGTTGGTCGCTCGCACTTTCTGCACCCTCCGAGCGCATTTTCGTCCCTCCATGATTGTTGTGTAAGAGATCGGGTCTGTTTTTTATTGCTGCACTCCTGAACTAGTGCACACTGGTGCAATGAGTTGGAATGAGAGGTAATCTATTTGTTTCATTTTAACTTATTGCACTAGTTCAGTAGTGCAGTAATAAAGAAGGCCTATCCCTCCCGCCGCGATAACACTAAATACGGCCCTGCGACATACACAGAGAACAAAGAGCGAAACGGTCTAGAAAATAATACACGCGAGGTGAACGTCACTAACAAAGGAATATACAAAATGTAACAATAGTCAGAGGTGGATTGCCAGTGGATAAAACACTTGTATTTGCGCTCACACAACTTTTTGTAGATTCTTGCTGCCACATGTAATAGGTGATACTTGAGAAGGACCAGTATTACTGGTCGAAACGTGTCGTGTATTGATTAAAAATATATACTTTGCCAGTTATCGTTGACATAAATCCTTTTAAAATGTAACAAATTAGGGAAGGCGGGCGGTTGCTCGCCTTGTCTCGAGCCGAGAAACTAGGAGGTCGAAACGGCTCTCCTTCGAGAAGCGATACAGTGCGGACGGTACGCGTAGCGCGAGAGTCTTTCGTTAGCAAGTTGTACATTCAGTTAATGTCAATAGATAGTGATAGCTTTTCAAGTAAGAAAGATAATTAATTCCGTGAACACCATCCGGAGCGTAGGGCAGCGAGAGTTCTACCAGAGAGAAATCTATGGGAAACCATAGGTTTCTCTCTGGTTCTACCTTCCAATGTTTCAATGATATCATTCTGCAATGTTCCCGCAATCTCCCTGCGTTGTACGGGTTCGTGTCGAGTGCAGAAAGTGCCGGCAAGCGTATGAGAAAGGGAAGAAAACGGCGCTCGGACACCCGTCACGAGAACGAGTCTCCCAATGCCCGTACGTTGACGGTCACGTTGACAGCTGTTGAGAGACTGTTGACAGTCGCTGTTGACAGCTAACCTCGTCGAGGAGTCTCTCTCCGTCCGTTATAGCTTGCCAATTGGCGAACATCACACGGTGAGCTTCCCCTCGACTCTCGCCGCGCGAGATATAATGAGGATTCAACCGACCGAGGGACAGCCGCGGTCGTAGAACATAACCTCTCGCGCACCAATGACCCCGAGCGTGGCGACGAGATCACCATAGGATCAAGCGAGGCTAACCGAAACACACACTCACGCGCAGACATGATCAAGGCGATCCTGGTTTTTAACAATCATGGGAAACCTCGTCTCTCCAAGTTTTATCAGTACTTTGTAAGTATACGTCGAGCGCGGATCTTTTTCCCGCTTCTGCGAGTCATAAATTCTCCCATTCATCGAAATATAAGCGAGTTCGGCGTCGGGGTAGCCGCCGCGCGAGAGGCAGGCGAGAGCGTATGGATCGTCGTTGCGACACGAGACGCATTTTCTGCTTCAGAACGAGGATATGCAGCAGCAGATAATAAAAGAGACGTTTCAGCTGGTCTCGAAGAGGGACGACAACGTGTGCAATTTCCTGGAGGGCGGCAGCCTGATTGGCGGCTCCGACTACAAGCTCATCTACCGGCACTACGCGACCCTCTACTTCGTGTTCTGCGTCGACAGCTCCGAGTCGGAGCTCGGGATTCTCGACCTGATACAGGTGTTCGTCGAGACCCTGGACAAATGCTTTGAGAACGTCTGCGAGCTCGATCTCATCTTCCACGTGGACAAGGTACATTACATACTCAACGAGCTGGTGATGGGCGGCATGGTCCTCGAGACCAACATGACCGAGATTCTCACGAGGATCGAGGATCAGAACAAGTTGGAGAAGCAAGAGGTAAGTAATGGCTTGTCGGTACAATTGTCCGATGTAATCCGGACTGTGATCCTTCTTGAATCTGTGCTCTCGACGCCGAACGGTTCGACTCGCTGCATATAAACTGAGTGCCTTAACGCACAAATGTAAATGTAACGTCTGTGTTCACGATGCCAGAACTCGATACAAGTTCTAGTTCCGAGAAATGTACAGCCAATCAACTTTTCTGTAAAATGCAGGTTGATCGGCCGCACATTTCTAGCATCGTGGACACAGGCCTGTAAAGCCTTGTGTCTGCGATACTAGAAATTGGTCGGAGATCTCGATCCGAGAAATGCACAGCCAGTCAACTGCAGCTTTTCTGTAAAAGATGCAAGAAGTTGCTTCCACAACTCGCACCTTTCACAGAAACAGAATGTCTAGCATTGCGGACACAAGGTTTGACAACCGCGATAAGTTTCCAACGAGATCACGGTCAGGATTGTAATCGTCGCGACGCAACGAGCTCCCGCAATTTGTTACGCCCGAACTTCCATCCCGTCAGATAGAACGCTAACGTTGTACGTTTCAAGCTAGCGACCAGTTTTGCAATTGTGTTTCATTTTCTCTCACTCGAGCTTGAAACTGAGCTTCAACTGCCCAGGCAGTCCGTTGAGCGCTCTAGCTATGCATGCATGCCGGTACAACAATCTTTAGAAAATACCTGACATGGTGACAGGCAGGACTGATTGACGCAACATCAATTTTAGGGGACTTACAAATCCGGGCGGTCTCGCTCACCCCGTCCGTTTGTCCTTCTGGGGCCCCCTCCTTGAGTAAAGTAAAGGCTACTCTGTACACTCCCGCGTGTATCCGTGATTAGTTCTCTTTTACTTTTCTTCGGCCCGATTTCACCGAACGTCGACTTAAATTCAATCTTAGCTTAGTTCACGCTTGCCTCTCTCTAAAGTAACAGTTGGAAAGAGACAAAGAACGATTTAAGCTAAGCCTAAAATTAAGCAACGTTAGCGACACCGGACCTTGGTCTCTTTTATTTTTTGACTGCAAGAGCGCAAGAGTTCTTCGTAGCTTTGTGAAGCGTGAGGCGTTTGCGTAACGCGCATGGCGATGCAATTCTGTTTCTGTAATTGTCCGCTGCATACAAACCGAGTGCCTTAACACACAGATGTCCATGTCGCAATGTCGCTTTTGTAAGGACAACGCGCGCGTGTATTAACTACGCTTACACTTGGCGCGAGACACCACCGTGTCTCGTGATAAATGTCGTCGATCGCCGTGTAGCCATCTGTCATTTGCTCTTCGCTCCCGGCTAAGAGCTTTCACTCCGCCGAGTCTCCTCCCGAAAACACGTCCGCTCTCCGCACTTGTTCCATCCTGTATGGTGTGTGCAGGCGGGAATCGCAGCAGCGCCCGCGCGAGCCGTCTCGGCCGTCAAGAACATGAATATACCGCAGCAAATAAAGGACATGAAGCTGCCTGACCTGCCGCAAGCCATAAAAGACCTCAAATTCTGACCAGCCGTTACCTCGCTGGCACCCAGCTGACTGGTCTCTTCCGTCATCCCGAGCGTAACCGACACCGCCGTCGCACCGAGGACACTTTTCCCTTCCCTTCAAGCAAGCGAGAACGCACCGATGCTGCCTGCCGCCTCTGCATATATCCCGTCTCAACGATACCAGAGTTAGAAGGACCACGGATGAACCGCTATCACTTTCTTGGGTTCTTCCGGCAAGAAAGTACGTGGGAGATCGCGTTTCGAGAAATTTTCCGAACGAAGAAAGACATTGGTCAAGGCGAGAGGACGTTTCTTAGATTTTTTACATGTGTATGATAGAAAATATATAAAGAACGATATCAGGTTCACGAATTTTCAGCTATGGTATTGGTAACTTTACGATTGTCCAATCTAGTAATCTAGTTCCGCGTTCCGTTATATATAAAGAAAAGAAATGACATGTCCACGGTTATTCACTGAAAATACAAAGCATCAACGTTATATTGTAATGAAGATATATTTAATAAATAAAACAACATTATTGTAAACGCGTATTGTTTTTCGCAAGACTATTTCGATATTGTATAGCGATGTGTATCTTGTCCAGGGTGTATCGTACTTTCGTCACGCCGAATCTCGTGAGTTCTGTGCGTCCAACGTAATCCAACAGTCTGACAATGAGTACTTAATTAAAGTCAATATTACAGGCAGAGGGAAATATTGAAACGTAAGGAGCGATTTGTGCACACAGAAATTACCTTACTACTTTAAGCTAAGCGACATATATTATCGATGATCAGGAACCACCGTCACTTCTTAGATATAGCCAGTTCGTTTCTAAGTGTCGTCCATATGTAGCCCGCTCCCTTCTCCGTGTGCGGAGGCGGATAGGGGCTGTTCTTCAACTTGAAATAGTCGGACGGGGCGTGCATCACAAATTCCATGCACTCCAGTTTGCGAGGTAAATCTTCCTCTGGCCCGATTACGTATGTCTCAGGGACGAAACCTTCTTCCGGCGTGGGGCTGAAAGGTGGGCATCGATTAGGCGCCGCGCGGCATTGTTGCAACCAGGCCTGGCGAGATTAACGGAACAAAGTGTCTCACCTCGCTGTCGTGGGCAACAGCCAGGTAACGGCGGCGCTCTTCTCGCAATACTGATCCGTCAGCAAGCCACGTATCTGGGCGTAATAAATACCACCGTCTACGTCCTGCATAGAGACGACGTCTCCGACCTGGAAGTACGTGCCTTTGTAGAACACAAAGTTGCTGGTGACCGGAGTCGCGGTGGCCGTGGGCGCTTTGACTGGCTGCAGGCAAACAGTTTAACCGTAAGTGGTCGTGCGACAATGCATTTCTCTGTGAGGAGGCAGACGCCTCATGGTTCAGCAAATGGAAGAGTATCTTGTCTCTTCCATAAAGGATCTCGACTGCGTAATAACAAATAGGGGTGTGTGCCTTCGGAGAGGCAGGCGCTAAAGCCTCGTGTCCACGATTCAGGAACTGTGTCCAAGTTCTAGCTCGGAGAAATGTGTAGCCAATCAAGCAGCTCTTCCGTAAAGGATACAGGTTGATTGGCTGCACACTTCTCGGAACCAGAACTTGGACACAGTTCTTGGATCGTGGGCACAGGGCTTAAGAGGTAGGCACGCCGCTGTATTAACTTTTTGGTTCTTTCTAACCGAACTGACTAGTCCAGGAGTTGATCTCTCTCCTAATGTCGAGTGGAAAAAAAGCTAAACTCTGCGAACTCTACAGCTGAACTAATGCAACCAGTTTAGCTCTAAAGAACAGGCTGCGGGATTAAAATCGAACTTTCCGCTTGCCAGGCGATCGCTTCCCGCTGACAATGAGCTATCCACTCGACCCTCCTCTCGCTCGCCTCAGGGTGCTTTCCAGCAATGTACACAAACGACACTGTGTAACACAGTGTGCGATCCGGTGTTTTCCAACTACGACGCAAGTCAACACAATCGAACACAGCTAAAAAGCTGAGTTAGGGCGTTTTCCAGCAAGGACACAATGTGACATGGTGTAACACTGTGAATCATTACATCCTTGTTGTTTGCCAATGTTAAACAAGGCTGAAACGATTCACTGTGTTACACTGTGTCCTTGCTGGAAAACGCCCTTGGACTGTGTCGTCTCTCCACAATGCCAACATTCTTACATTTGTTAAGAATATTCTTAAAGTCGCCAGCAGTAATTATAAATTAATAACATCGGTGATTTTTGTCGACCGTGTCTGGCAATTAAAATTCTTATTGCGAAAAATATTACCCCAGCCAGGATTCGAACCTGGGACCTCCCTACAATCCGTGACGGGCGTCTTAGCCAGCTCGACCACCGGGGCTGTGATAATACTATTCGCAATAACGTGTATATAACTTTAAGATGTTGTTTACGCGTCTATTTCGACTTCTTACATTTGGTACCACTTATTTTCCTACAGATGCTGACAATCGTGAAAAACTCCCCGCCGTTGAATGGGCATATGTTGCTCGCTTCTTCTTTTTCCTTGGTTGCCCCTGGTTCCAGACGTTCTAGTACTGTTTGGGACGTGGTGAGCACAACACGTCTAATTTTTTGATCCTGTCCTTTAATAAAATGGTGAAATAGATTATCGCACTCGTCGCAATTCTGAATACAGCCCTAGCGATAAGTTACGTGAAAGAATTACTCTGCACCCTGGCGGTAACGCAAAAAAGCTAAACAGCGTTCCAGCTACTGTCGACACTGTGTAACATTGTGTTACACAGTGTTCCATTGTTGGAAAGCACCCTTAGTTTACCGAATAAAGTAAAATCGCCACGTCGCTCGCTCACCGTCTTCTTAAAGAGGTTCCTGCGACCCTTGCCCTTCGGTACGATTCTGTGTGATCCCGTCGCCTTCGCGTTGCAGTACCTCGTGATCCGCGTGCTCCTTCTGGGCCTCAACGAGCCGCTCCTGTCCTCCTCGTCCGCCTTGAAGGACGCACTCACCTCGGCGCTCCGCTCATCCTCCAGGCAGGAGTTGCACAAGTTACCGGCGTCGGTCGAGTGCCACAGAGGGGTCTCGCGGGTCCCGCACTTGACGCATGCCGGCTTGTTGCCGAACGGCATCTAGGTCTCTCTGGGGGAGGAGCCGATCTCGAGAAATCCGCGCGCAACACCGAGTCTCCCCGGCAACTGTTCCCTGCCTACCTCGTCGGGCCGTCGATCACCGGCCGTTTTTTCATGCTATGTTTACAGTCTCGGCGCGTTCACGTGCTCCACCACCAGCACCAGCGACCGACCAGCCGGCGCATGCGCCCCACTCGGGGCGGGAACAGCTGACTGCTGAGCGAGACTCTTCCCGACTGGACGGCCAATCGCACGGCGAGTATCCTGATGAATTTTCGCCGGGGACAGGACTCACAGGACCTGGGGATTCCAGTGTTATTTTCTTCCCCCCCCCCCCCCCACGAGTTCATCCGAGAACCGAGTCCCAAGAACTACATACGACGCTTGTCGAGAGTATCGATTCTCTCGAATTGTTCTCGAGAATATCGAGAACATCGAGGAATCGAATACTATCGATTTTTTGTGCTCGAATACTCCCACATCACTAGATTCGATGAATTTTCCAAGGCGACGTGTATACACCAGCGTACACCTCGGGTTCCAAATTTAATCGGACTTTGTGCTACGCCGCGAATGAAACGTGTCTCGACCATCCGTTTCAAGTTTTCAAAATATCCCTCGAACGTCGCTGAATTCTAAAAAAATATTGTATTAGAATTGATATGCCGCTGTGGACTCGTCTCGCGCACAGATCTCGCCCTCGCTCAATAAGCGCGCAATGTAAATATTTCGACGATTACATTTCAGATGTATACATGCTATCGAATGAAGGACGGAGAATTGTCACCCTAGTGGCACTGTGCATCGGCTAAATATTTGTTATATTAGAAATCCATCGGCCGATATTGTCCAACGTGAAGCCAATTATATTGGCCATGAAATAAATGTAAATATTGCACGACAATAATTATACAATATTAGATTTATATTGCAAGTGCATTGGCCAATATTTAACAATGTAATAACCCATACAGCACCAAAGCTTTCAGAAACATTTCAACATTGCAATAATGGGTTTGTTTTCTGTTCCTGCACTGGTGAACTAGTGCAGTAAGCTAGAATGAGAAAAAATATGCTTGTCTTACTCCAATTTATTGCACTAGTTCACTAGTGTAGGAACAGAAAACAAGCCTAATGTTTTCTGAAAAGTTTCTGAAAGCTTTGGTGCTGTATGGGAGCAATATTGGTCTAATATTGATGCAACACTAGACCAACATTGCTAAACAGACATTTTGGCTAAGTAAGAGAAGGCGTCCACTTTACAATATATATTGGACCAACATTGGGAATACTAGAAAGTTACATTATTTCCCAATATTGCGCCAATACATTGTGCTACTTGGGTAATGTTGTCACGCGCTGCCTCGAACAACAATTTGCCAGATCCGAGAGATCGCGCGATAGGTACCGGACAGGCAAATTGTTGAAATCAGAAATTGTCTCTGCGAGAAAAGGAAGAGGCAGGAACAAAGAGAGACGGGGAGATACGGATTTTATTAGTGCCGCTTATACGACGAATGTAATTCATTCTGCGGCGCGCGCGAACGGAGCCAACACCGCGTGCAGTTTGTACCTCGCGTTACGCCTCTGTAATATCGATCTGAGCGCGGTCAGTGGACATGCGTTTAGCGCTTTTAACTTCATTGTGACAGGTGCCCTGTCCGGGGTAACCCGCTTCGAGTGTCTCGTCGGCGCGGAAGCGGCGCGCTATGCCGATCGCGACGAAATAATTGCTGCGACACCGCCTCGCGGAGACGCGTCATCTCCGGGAAGAAAGAAAGAGAGAGAGAGAGAGAGGGAGAGACGGAACAACGTCATGTGCCTCGTGTGTGCCCGTTGACGGAGAGGCGCACACGGCAGGCACCGCCGAGGGCTCCGTCGACCAGTGTCTGGAACATGTGCCTTTGACTACGAGTGAGTAGACGACCCTCACGGAGCGAGGCCGAGTCGCCTCGCTGGCCGAAGGGAGAGACGGCGACGAGGAGGTCGCGAAACCCGACGGGACGTTTCCGCCCCCGTCGCGTCGTTGGTCCGCGACGCGCGGAGAGACTCGGCGAGATAACGCGTAGATGCTGCGACGACCCGGCCGTGTTGTTCCTCTCGCGAAGACGGAAGCTGTTTGCTTTAAGGGGCTGCGACGAACGTGCGCGGACGGGATCGCCCGCTCGCGCGGCAGAGCGTCGATTATTTCGTCGTCTTCCGCTCGACCGACTCCCCATTTGCTGTTGGTCAGTAATTTAATTGAGAGGTTCATTGGCTTGGCCAACGGATTAAATAACGGCTCGCCACCCACGTGAGCCGTAACGGATGAATTATTATTAAATGGCTATTTTTGTACGCCGGTGAGACAACCAACGCCGGTATTAATACGTTTCGAAGCGGTTTAACCCACCGGTTGACGCGGCGTTTTCGAATTTCTACCGAAACGCCCAGGGCCCAGGTAGCCAGTATGCTCAAGCAATGTATGGAAATAAAATGCCAGCAACTGATGCTGGCTCTTTGCTGGGAATATGAATTCAATGTTTGAGTGATTTTTAAATACAGCTAGCATAATGTTAACATATTGTCGTAGTTAAATGCACAGCTAAAGAGAGAGCACATCGAATAGGCATACTGTTAACAAAGAATTACCATATATTGTTTTCAATTTTCTAACAGATATAAACATGTTACACTGGTCAAAAAATTAACGCAACAAGAAATTTACATCAAAATTTGGCGAATTTCAAATAAGCGTAACTTCGCGAAAACTGGTCGAATTGAAAAGTTTTTTTTTTCATTTTATAGGGCAAAGTCTCTGCTTTAAGAAGCTCTTATTGGAATTTGCATTCACTCTTCCCATTTCCCGGAACTTTCTCAAAATCATGACCATGTTTCTTCTCTAAAAAATTGCACACTTTGACGCACTGTGCGGAGTGTAGTAATTTTTCTTTGCCAGTTCTGCTTACGGTATCAAAAAGTGTATACTTTTTTCTTCAATTTAAAAAAAAAAAG